AGATCTCAGCTCCTGTGGACTTCCACCTGCAGGAGGATCAGTGAGGGGCTGGTGCTCTGTGACTGGGTGCAGCTCTGACTGCCACCCCCCCGACCCAGAAATGGATTAAGGGGAAGAAAATGGATGGATGGATGGATGGATGGAGTCTATCAGGAGGAAAATGAAAATTAAACCATGGCAGACAAATTACATCCATCAGATTAAAGACAACTTAAAATCAATGGTACCAATTAGTCTTCAACGAATCAGTGAAGACTAAACAGAAACTGCTCCTTGGTTAGCGCTGTGATGGGAGACCTCTGGGAAGACCAGGTGCCACAGTGGGGCGGCTGCGGCTGTAAAGCGTAAAAACTTCAGTTGTGTCCTTTGGCAAGACACATTCTAGAATGAGTCTGGTGTGTGACTGAATGGTTGGTGGCCTCCCTTTTAAATAATATAAATACTAATTCATGTTAAGGAAAGGATGAATCTCCCATGTTTGTGAGATTTTGAGTGAAAACTTCCTTCTATCAGCGAGGACATTGAAGATGCATCACACTGGAATACTCGTGCATGTTATTCCAACGTAGTTTTACTGCAAATGGCAAATAAACAGAATCTTCATCTCAGAGATCTGCTTCTAAGAATGGACCAAAACACCAAAAACAGTGTGTGAAAACCCTCTTAACACCAGACTGTCATTACCAACAAATAGTATTATAAAGTATTGAGATGGACTTTTGTTATTGACTAAATATTTCAACATAAGGTATCTTGTTTTTAGTATTGATCCACAAAAAATGCTATTAATCTAAGAAATCAAACAATCTAATTTTCTGTTTTTGTTTTCTCATTTCATTTCTCATTTTTGAGGTATATCTCTGAAGAACATTACAGGCCTCTCTCTTCACTGTAGCAGTGGATGTGTTTACACTACAGGTCAAGCAAAACATGTCATCAGCTCTGGCTCCGGGTTAATGATAGAAAAGTAATGCATTACTCTTTGACAGGTATAGAGTGAACATAGGTGACTTTGCACATGTGGCTGTAGATGCCATCTGTGCAGCTGACCACTGGCACAGGAATAACTGCTCAAAACAACTTCCTCCAGCATTTTTCCCCCACATCAAACAAAAACCATCTTTCTGAGAATCCTCAAAATACACGGCTGCTTTTGCCAGTCCAGCATCAATGCAGCGCCTTCAAACCTTTGGCCTGAACAACACTGACGGGAGACTCAAGAGAAAAGGAGATGATTTCTTCCTCTTCTCACGGAACCTCGATATGACCTGCTCTAGAATACGAGGCTAAATATGGCGGGTTTACAGTTACCTAAAAGGAATCTGGCACATGCATATATCGGGTCAAAACAACATCTTCCTTCAGGCGGTCCAGGCGAGAGCTGGTCCTGAGGGCGGACCGTTCTCCTGGTGATTCAGGCACAAATGAAAGTGTGGGTGGTTGGCCAAAGAGTTGTTTACAGTGAGCAGGGTTAACTTCTTGACTTAAACTTAAAATCTACATGAACATTAGTCAGAATGGTTCCAATCTATTAAGTATGTGTAAAAGGAACATTTTGTAATGTTTTAATTTTAAATTACATCTCCATCTAATAGTACAAATTACATTAGATGTTTTCTGAACATTACAAAGTGGTTATTGTTGATGTGGCTCTGGTTAGTTCAATTTGACAGATTTTGTCTACTTTACTTTTAAACATAATTAAAAAAACATTTAGCACCACAGTTTCTAGCTAAACCCCAGCAAGTGGATTGTATCTGTAATCAGTGTGTCACATTTATTATTTTATTGTTTATTTGTTTGGGACAGTACATTTTAATGAACACGTGTCAGATAGTAATTCTAATAGTTTATGTGACATAAAGATTTATACGGTCACTAATTATTCCTCGTCTGTTGATTATTTTAATTCATTAATTATACAAAAAACATTCAGATGGAAACAGTGATTCGTCAATCTACTAAATGATCTTTCTTTTGATATATATATATATATATATATCAATAACTCCACTCGTGTTTTCAAGACCTGTGCACTTGGATCATTGCTGAAGTGCTGCAGGATTCTAGTTCTGGTAAAAAAGAACAGATCAATATCACGATTGAGATCCGATTTCTGATATTTAATTAACATCAACGTCACGGCGTGTTGCAAAGAAGACTGAACGGACGTCATTACACAGCACCTCTATCAATACCCCCACATCATGGTCCAGTAACAGACACATAAAGTCTAAAGGGCACAAAGACATGTGCAGCAACAACTTCAAGAGTGACACTCACATTAAAAAGTCCAGAGATCTAACCCTAATAATTAACTATTATTCTTAAAGAAATAAAGGTTGTTGACATGTGCGGAGAAAGATTATAGGCCTCATTTGGAAATAAAGCACAATGCATCTGTCCAACATCAAGACGGATTATACTTAAAATCTTCAAAAAAGGTAAGGACATTATCAGCATACATTTCAAGTGGATATGATTCTCATGGTATTACTGTTATAACTATGAACAGGTAAACACTGAATCTATGATGCTGCTTTGGTCAGGTCAGAATAAATGACTCTATAAGAACCTAATCTGATAAAAATAATAATGCATTGGTTTTATATCGTGCTTTACTGGAATAAACTTCATAATGACGTCACTCCTTTCACAGTGGCAATCAGAATGTGCCATCAGCCCCTCCCACCACCACACACACACACACACACACACACACACACACACACACACACACACACACACACCAGACCCATTCTTGGCGATGTGGGTGAAGTGCCTTGCCCAACAGGACACGACGACAATTTGGCACTTTATAGCTGCTTCACTATGGCGCCTGGTCTCCCATCACAGCACGAACCAAGCCCTACCCTGCACAGCTTCAGAGGTCTGATAGGAGCTGGCTTTCACATGCAAATTTGGCCACTTCAAATTTTGTTTCTTACAGATTAAATTCAGAATTGTATCCATAACATCGACTGTAAAGGCAGTAAATACACATTTATAAACATGTGGGAAGGTTAAATGCACAAATATGAACACATTCCAAACAATTAATCACATTATGAATCCTGTTTCAAAGTAACAAGAACAGAGAGATGCAATATAATGGAAAGTTTTTCGTGAGCTGCATTTGAAAACAATCTGAAGCAGTTTGTTGTTGGCTCCTCTCTTTGTTGTGTCAGATTTTTACATGAACCTTTTTTCATCTTGTCTGGAGAATCCTGGATCAGATTCGGTCCATTTATTTTACTTTTTTATAACATTTTTATATGCGTCATCATGAGGCAAACAATGCAGGTTGCTTATTTCAGTGCAATTCGAATGGTAAGTTCCACAACATGGCATTTAAGTTTTTTCTTTTTTAAATGTTGTATTTACTTTCAATAATAGACATACATAATGACACACAACGCACACAGAGCCATGGCAGAAACTAAAATATTAAGTTTACGAAAGACGTCCACGAGCTCAGTTCACCTTGTGCACACCGGCAGATTTGTAATTTTCCAACTATGTCAGAATATATATACATCCATTCATTTTCTACCCCTTTATTAGTCCATTTCTGGGTCTGGGGGGTGACAATCAGAGCTGCCACCCAATGCTCATAGCACCAGGCACTCGCTGATCCTCTGCAGGAGGTGAGTCCACAGGAAGACGGCAGCTTCATCAGTAGTGCCACAGTCTTGGTGTTTCAGCGCGAGCTTCAGGCAACGTGCACTGTAAACCCTGACAAGTAAAGTTTACTTGAAAAAACCATGGAAATAAATTGCGTATTAACTTCACTTGAATTCCTCGAGTACATCCTTTACTTGATATTACCAAGTAAACTCACGTGATTGCAATAAAGTTTAAACGTCTACTTATGATCCGACCGGGATTCGTACTCAGAACCCTCATTCAGAGGCAATGGTGCTACCCACTCAGCCACCAGGCCACCCTGCCATTGTCACACTTGCCTCATTAAAGAGTCTACACGTCAAAATGTCAAACAGTCAACAGTTCAATTCAAAGAAAACCCTGAGTGACATAGGCAAGATTTAAATAAACTAACAATAAATGAGTAATATCTACTTACTAGGAAAAATCTATTTAAAATAACTTTGATATCTGAAGTACGATTGAAGTTAGGGTTTACAGTGTGGGGTTAAGTGTCTCGTCTGCTTACTGTGTCATTGTGCTTACCAAACTTTAAAAGACAACAGTGCTCAGTGCTGCTCGACTGCAGCCAAACTTTAAATGAAAGTGAGAAGAGAGCAGCTCAGTCGTAACTACGTTCTCAGCCTTCTCCTTTTCTCCAGATTTGATTATTTCAAGTATGTTGTCAATCTCTAATCCGGCCACCTGTATGGAGCCTGGGTGTTAAAATGATGAGGACCATATGTAAGGATTGCCTGTACACATACACATTCATTCAACATGGTAAATATGTAGTTCTTGCTTTGCACTCTTAAATCAATGCAGGAGTTTGGTCGCAGCAGATGGAAGCCGGAAAAGAATCTGTAGCATATTTAGTTTTAAAGGTTATGACATTTCTCTCAAGTGAAAAACAAAGCCAGGGCCAACAGTCTATTACAGTTGACATTTTATTGACAGTTTGGATTAGAAAGTATTACTTCAATACATTTCATTAGGATACAAACTGGAAACTGAAATAGAAGGCCACAAACTAAAGCTGAAAAACAGAATAAAAAAGTAATGATTTTTTGGGAGAAAATTGGTGAAGTGCAGCAAAGAGAAGAAATACAGAGCGCAGGGGTGAAAGAATAAACTCAGAGATTATCGTAACACGCCTTCATAGAAGGACACAATAAGAGTCTTTGCAGCCTTTTCACATGCTGCTGAGAACGATGACATCTTAGGTTTTAATGTGCTTGTTAGATGGATGTTATTGAAAAGAGTAGTCCATGATTCACATTGATGAAAAAAAGAAATGCTGAAGATTGAGACGAAACATAAATCCAGCACTTCTTCTCAGGATGTTGGATGCTTCTTCAGGAGGATGGAGGCTGGAAGGTCTTTGAGGTGGCTAACATAGCTCGCACTTTGGCCATCAGGTCCTGAAAGAAGAAAATTAAATCAATATTTTCAACAATACAGAGAAGCCGTCCTGTTTGTTACTGGGCTTAAGCATGGACTGTTCAATTCTGATTGGTAGCAAACGATTAGATTCAGATTCAGTTTATTTGCCATTTGCATTAAAAACACCACATTGGAATACATTAGCAAAAAGTCTCCAGTGTGCACTGACAAATACAGACATGTATGGCACGGTGGCTGAGTGGATAGCACTCTCGCCTTTCAGCAAGAAGGTCCTGGGTTTGAATCCCGGTTGGACCAGGGCTTTTCTGAGTGGAGTTTGCATGTTCTCCCCGTGTCTGCGCAGGTTTCCTCCTGGTGCTCCGGTTTCCCCTACCACTAAAAATATGTACAATAGGTCTGGCATTGTTATTTTTGGGAGTGGGGGTGCCAGTACTCCTGTACTCCCAAAAATAACAATTGTAAACCGCTTTGAGACCCCGATGTGCAGTGAAAAGGTGGTATATAAATAAAGATTACTACTACTACTACATAAAACAAGATTAAAAGACAGAAATAAAACAAATTAAACAGTAAACAAATGTCACTGTGGAATCGATCGACTAAAACAGTTTCAAAACAAGTGCATTAATCATTAAAGGGCTCTGTTCACACTGATAAAAGCCTGTGGATAAAAACTTCCGGCAGTCCAGTTACTTTCACAATGCACTCACTCCTGGCCCAGCTTCCTGAACAATAAGGTATGCACAAAAACACAAACTCTGAGGAAAAAAGTGTAAGAATAGGGTAAATGGGCTTGGATGAAGTGGTATAATTCAATAAGATTTATGATGAGTGCTTCTGCTGCTGCTAAACCCCACTGGGAATCAAGACTTCTGCAGCCTTCTGTCGGGGCCAAACTCTCAATGAGCCAGGATTGGTTCTTGGCATGAATGTTCACAAAATGCATGTGTGTGTGTGTGTTTATATAGAATGAATCGGGAGTGTGTGTGCGCCTGAATGAGACCCACATCTTTTCTCTCATCTGAAAAGTGTTAGTCTGAGAAAGGAAAAGATAAGCGGAGGTAAACACAGTCTCAAACTATTTGGAGTTGACTTTTTGTATGCGTGGAGAAAACCACTTAGGCCTCATTCATCGAGTCTGCGAGCCGCACACGATACAAAGTTTAAGAATTTCACTAAAGTTAAAATGTAAACTACATTCACACTTTCTTACATCACAACAGCCATTAAATACTTGAGTTTATATTCAATTAATGTTTCTATTTAATTCCATCGACTTCTGTACAGTGACTTCTGAAAGTTGGCACTTATGGAAAGAATTTATTTGTGCACAGGATTTCTTCGGTATAAAAATGTTATCAACTAAACAATACATTCTGAAACTAATATTTTACCCTAAATATGTTGATCTTGTTAAAAAAAAAAAACACATTCACGTCAAAATAAATGTGTATGGCTCACACAAGAATATCATTTTAAGTCAAACTCTTTTGGCTCTCTCAGCAAAAAAGGTCTTTCTCTGACTCCTCTCGCTCGTTAATCTTTGGCCCCGTCCCGGTACCGGTACTCGCACTTCCAACCTGGCGCCCCTCATTTGCGCGTTCCCGATGATGGGTGCGAGTGCGTAGGGTACAGTCCCAATTCTCCAGGGAGGTCTTTAGCCCCGCCCCCTTTGCGCCCCTGATCCACACTTTGCCGTAGCCAGCATCTACGCGGACTCTGGTGAAGGATATTGCCCATAATTCTTTGCGGTACACACCAAAACGTCGGGAAAATGCATTTAAGTTTTTGAAATATATATGCTGTATGTGTGTAAATAAGTTTTGGGTATGTTATTTGGAAAGCAGCATAAATGTATTTACGGACATTCTATGGTAACAATTTCATAACTTTTTTTAATCCAAGCTTTCATATAACATTCAATTTAAACTTTACACTTAGTACAATAAACTTAGGATGTATAAAAACCCAAATTCAACTTAAAATTATACAGCTATCTCAAATTACGAATAACCAATATACAGTGCCTTGCGAAAGTATCCGGCCCCCTTGAACCTTTCAACATTTCAGGCTTCAAACATAAAGATATAAAAATTAATTTTTTTGTCAAGAACCAACAACAAGTGGGACACAATCGTGAAGTGGAACAAAATTTATTGGATAATTTAAACTTTTTTAACAAATAAAAAACTGAAAAGTGGGGCGTGCAATATTATTCGGCCCCTTGCGCTAATACTTTGTAGCGCCACCTTTTGCTGCAATTACAGCTGCAAGTCGCTTGGGGTACGTCTCTATTAGTTTTGCACATCGAGAGACTGAATTCTTGCCCATTCTTCCTTGCAAAACAGCTCGATCTCAGTGAGGTTGGATGGAGAGCGTTTGTGAACAGCAGTCTTCAGCTCTTTCCACAGATTCTCGATTGGATTCAGGTCTGGACTTTGACTTGGCCATTCTAACACCTGGATACGTCTATTTGTGAACCATTCCATTGTAGATTTGGCTTTATGTTTTGGATCATTGTCCTGTTGGAAGATAAATCTCCGTCCCAGTCTCAGGTCTTTTGCAGACTCCAACAGGTTTTCTTCCAGAATGGTCCTGTATTTGGCTCCATCCATCTTCCCATCAATTTTAGCCATCTTCCCTGTCCCTGCTGAAGAAAAGCAGGCCCAAAGCATGATGCTGCCACCACCATGTTTGACAGTGGGGATGGTGTGTTCAGGGTGATGAGCTGTGTTGCTTTTACGCCAAACATATCGTTTTGCATTGTGGCCAAAAAGTGTGATTTTGGTTTCATCTGACCAGAGCACCTTCTTCCACATGTTTGGTGTGTCTCCCAGGTGGCTTGTGGCAAACTTTAAACGAGACTTTTTATGGATATCTTTGAGAAATGGCTTTCTTCTTGCCACTCTTCCATAAAGGCCAGATTTGTGCAGTGCACGACTGATTGTTGTCCTATGGACAGACTCTCCCACCTCAGCTGTAGTTATCTGCAGTTCATCCAGAGTGATCATGGGCCTCTTGGCTGCATCTCTGATCAGTCTTCTCCTTGTTTGAGATGAAAGTTTGGAGGGACGGCCGGGTCTTGGTAGATTTGCAGTGGTCTGATACTCCTTCCATTTCAATATAATTGCTTGCACTGTGCTCCTTGAGATGTTTAAAGCTTGGGAAATCTTTTTGTATCCAAATCCGGCTTTAAACTTCTCCACAACAGTATCTCGGACCTGCCTGGTGTGTTCCTTTGTCTTCATGGTTCTCTCTGTGCTTTAAACAGAACCCTGAGACTATCAAAGAGCAGGTGCATTTATACGGAGACTTGATTACACACAGGTACATTCTATTTATCATCATCAGTCATTTAGGACAACATTGGATCATTCAAAGATCCTCACTGAACTTCTGGACTGAGTTTGCTGCACTGAAAGTAAAGGGGCCGAATAATATTGCACGCCCCACTTTTCAGTTTTTTATTTGTTAAAAAAGTTTAAATTATCCAATAAATTTAGTTCCGCTTCACGATTGTGTCCCACTTGTTGTTGATTCATGGAAAAAAATAACATTTTTATATCTTTATGTTTGAAGCCTGAAATGTGGCGAAATGTTGAAAGGTTCAAGGGGGCCGAATACTTTCGCACTGTACATTTATTTTAACGTGTGTGGAGCAACTCATTAAGTTTCCCACAGGGTCAGACGAAATGAGTTTTAATTTTTATAAAGTTTAGGTCTGAAAATGACCATCTCTTGACGAGTCGATGACGTAACCTGAACTCGGTGTGCACTGTCCCAATTCTGATTTTTTGCACACTTGTAACCTGCGCACTCAAACCCTTGGGTGCACTTCAAACAAACGCACACTTCGTAGAGGAGTGCAGGGTGCAGTGTGGGTATTGGGGGCCTTTGTTTTCTTCCATGGTTCAAATCCATGGTTTAGTGCACCATGTCTGCCCTTGTTAAGGCACAACGCTAATCCTGTTGGAACAAATGCCCATATAAGGAAACTGGCTGCAGCTAGCTTATGTTGGAATCACACTCTACAAACACTAAGGTAACGTCAGCGCTCAGACTATCCACTGCTATTTTTTGGTCTGTGTGTGCTTCATATACAAAGCTCACACAATACATCTGCGACCAAAATGAATATTAATCACAAGTAGAAACTACAAAGCTGCACTTTTTGCTTCCTTCCTGGTTCAGGTAGAAGTGTGATTTTTGCTGACCAGGGGGCGAATGCTTGCATTGCTGAATACAAAAGTTCTTATTTGCATAGTGAGAGTGATTCATATTGGAGAGAACAAACCCCGCACCCCAGAGCTCTGGTGACAGATGAGACAAATTAACAGTTGTAATCACAGAGGGAAGTAGCTGTCACGTCACATCGTTCAGGAGGCACTTTCTCCAAACGCCACCAGAGTAATCCCAAACACAACATACGCACATGGCCAGTGGCACTCATTTATCAACACGGCTCAGGGACTGCTGTACACTGTGGGTGTGTTGGGAAAATACACCAGAGGGAAAGTGAGATTCATGAAGCCGGAAAAAGGTTAAAAGTTGGGGACTTTATTTTTTCATGAATAATACACTTTGTTTGTGGTGGAATCTTTTTTAAGTGTAAGACGGTGTATGTCACTATTTGATGTTTTGGAATTTTTCGTCTGTAAAAATCTGATCTAAAGATTTGACAGACACCACAGATAAATGCAGTGCTAGTGATTGTGTTTTATAGAGATTCATCCATAGTGGCAGAGTTAGATACCACTGATTTAACTGGAAACTGAAAAACATTTACATCAGAATAATAATTGACAAAAGTAATGTACTGATAGAAAATCTCTGCAGTTGCTCTTGACCCATTTTTTAACAAATATACCATTGATGCATTCCATTTGTATTGAATTTATTGAATATGAATATGAATTAAAGCCGCAAGCGGCATCTAACGGCCCTCGCCGCACCGCGCAAAGCAGGTGGCGCTGACGCGCCATTTTCCCACTGCCCCGACGGGAGCGACACTGTGCATTTTGAATTCCTATGATCAGTGATTGTGTGTCTCTATTTAAAAGGTAAACTTAATTCTCCCCATGTAACACTTGTATCAGTCTGTAGGGGGCGCTAATGCTGCTATTTCATGATTCATACTTTTAGTTTACTCAAACCCAAGAGTTAAACAGTCAATTCAAATTTTGTGCAAATCGGACTTTGTATGTGCAAACGGTGGCATTTAATGTTGTACAACAGCGCCCCCTACAATGTAATTTTTTTAGTGTTATACCAAAGAACACCAAAATAATACAGTTTATGCCTGAAAAAAACTTGTGGCAAAGTTTGGTGATTTTTTTATGTTTGTTATGTGGGTCAAATTTGAGATCAAACAACATAAAACCTAAATACCTGTATCCCCATGTAAACCTTTACTCAGCCTGTAGGGGGCGATAATGGACCAAGTATTGTTCATACTGTCATGTGACCTAGGCCCAGGAGTTGAACAACAAAGTCAAGTTTAGTGCAAATCAGAGTTTGTAAATGTGCTCCTGTTTGCCCATACAATCTGTGAGTGTGTCCACACAGTCTCCATTGGATTACATGGGAACTTCACACCTCTCTATGAAAATAACCAAATTTTGGGAGTCTGTCATGCACAGACCGTTTGACTTATTCAAATTCTATATTCAACTATTGATGGTCCACGTGTTGAGACGATGTGGAGCGATTTTCAGACAAATTAGTGAAATGCCTGCGGCTGGTTTGATGTTTGAGCGACGTGTACATTTCAGAGATTTAACGATTTTCCCATAGACACAGACAAGGGAGTGTTTGTCGTCTCCACGGCAACAGGGTAAAAAAATACCATATGTTGTTATTGACTTTTTGAATCCAGATGACAAAATTGAATTATGTGCAAAATTTCAAACATTTTGAAAAAACTAAATTTGAAAATGCCCATGTAAAACTTTGACATAGTCTGTAGGGGGCGATAATGAGCCAATTTAATATTTCCACTTTCAAATGACCTAGACCCTGGAGCTGAACAATGGATTCAAATTTTGTGCAAATCGAGCTTTGTTTGTGTAAACGGGAGCAAATTTACTTTTGTCAAAAATGGGAAAAAAAATGTCACATTTTGCCGCTCTGCTGCTCGGACAAAGTTTAACTGATCCAAATTCTATATTCAATAATAGATGGTACATGTGTTTAGACCATTTGGAGCAATTTTGAGACAAATCGGTGAAACGGCCGAGGAGGAGATAATTTCCAGCCGACATGTGTAAAAAATATCAATTTTCATTTTTCCATTTTCCAATTAAATTAATGAGCTCCCTGTTTGTCAGGGGGCGGAGCCATAATAACTTTTTTTCATGTCTTGACCTGAGGAACATGTGTACCGAGTTTTGTCGCTCTACAACAAACTTGACCTCCGACCCCCTCCCATAGGCGCAATGTAGGGTTCTGAATTTTGGGCAAAATTTCACAACTTTCATCAATGTTCAGGGGGTCAAATTTAGGTTCAAAGCGCAGTAGAAAAAATAAATAAATAAGGATTTTTTTTTTTTTTTTTTTTAATCTTCGAGCAAAAACAATATAGGTTTCCATAGTAACCTATAATACAAATGATACATCATTTTAAAGCAAACGACCAGGCGAACGCAACTATTGAGTTCTCGGTGATTGACGAGCGCTGACGCGCTTCGCCCAGGCATTACTCGTTGGAAAAGCAATAGGCCCGTACCCCGGTTGGGGCTCGGGCCTAATAATATACATCTATATATTATACATCTAAATATGTACATGTATTTATGAATACAAGTAAAAGATCTGGCGGAAAAAATAAATTTTACTAAATGAAAAAAACAAGATAAATTGCTTGTTATATAAAAATATTGTACATGGAGGACTGTTTTCTTTATCTTCAAGATGTAAGCTTTGAAACTTTACTTTTAAAAGCAGTACACATGGAACACAATCTTCTACAATTCTTTTAAATGACAAAAATAGCAAGGTTCTGTCTGAAAGCTTCACTCTCACTGGTCCTTGAACCAATCCAACAGCGACAAATAAGCTACAGAAGATGGACGGATGAACAAGAAGAATCAGAAGTGCAGAGGACCATAGGCGACAAACACCATCAAGCAGAAGATCACAAGCCAAATGAAAAAACAAATGTGGGAAAAGGTTTTTCTAAACCATCATTCTGTAATCTTGCTATTTTGCGAGAGCCTTTATTTGATAAAAAATATGTTTATGATTCATTCTGGGCAGAAAGTGAAAATGTGTATTTCCATTTGGAGTGAGGGACAGAGGAGGTAATGGTGTCGGAGTGCAGTAATCAGACTGTTGACCCCCATTAGCTTCGGCTTTTGAACTTAAAATGTTATAATTATGAATGTACAAACCGCATTAGATCGTGAGATTTTTCATTGCAAGAAAAATAAGCAATAGGAAAAAACTGAACAGAAATGTGTGCAATTTACTTATTTTAAAATGGACTGAGGCTCAAATGAAAAACAGACTTAAGTTTATTATTAAGTCAATTAATGATATGTATTTATTAGATATTATGATTATAACAAACTCAACCCTCATGTCAGGCATAGATCCATTGTTACTGCTGTCGTTCATGTCGTCTCTTCTAACAGGCTAGCTCACAAAGTTCTATCTACAGATGTTGCCGCGACAACATTCATTGTATTCATGAAGCAGAGAGGGCCACTGTTCCAAACACCTCTCTCCTCCCCCATCCCCTCCATCTCCTCCCCACTCTCCCAGCAGCATAAACAGACAGTGTGCGTGTGCATTTAATTAACACTTTGCTAGCACAATCAAGACAATTTTCTTTATATTTGTAGCTAATTGTTCAGGGCCAATGTGGCGAGGTCAAGCCCCGGTGATCCAAGATGGCGGCCTATTCGCATCATTGGCTTGTGCATTGTGACTTGTTCTGAATTATTTGTTCAGTGGCAACTTGTTTCGTTTTAGTCCCACTCATCTACTGTGCGCTAAAATACTGGAGAAAAAAAATCTGTTAAAATGTTCAGATGAATCGTTTGCTAGTACACTTCTGAAGAGAAACTTGGCATTAAATTATTTGCTCAGTTACTGATAAAAGACGGTAGACAAAGCTGGCGGCATGGCATTGTTGAATGTTTTATTTATGAAGAGCTGCTCCAAATAAAATACCACAGATTACAAGCAGTTTTCACTGGGCTTTGGGGTAAGACCCTTCAGAGATACCCCCATTTTGTTCCTTGTTTGTACACCGTGGTAACTCAAAATAACCACATTAAAACAGGATATAAACAGCCAATATATTTCATTAAATCAACACTAAATGCAATATATCAACTGTAAATGCTTCGAACTCGCAAAACTCACTAGATCCAGCTTACCAATCTTCTGCTCACAACAGTTATATATTTTGTTATATTATGTGATGTATTAAAGGCTTATTAACCGAGCGCGAGGTCTGTACCTTGGCCTTTTAGCACAGACCTCGCCACGGCTCGGTCTGTGCAAAAAGGCTAAGGTCTGATATTTCTCTGCACAGACCAAGCAAGCAAGGTTAATAAATGTTTTATTAACTTGGTTTTGTGTGATACGCGCTGCGGACAGATTGTCATGGTAACGGTCCGAGATGGGAAAATATCAGACCGCAAATCAACCAATCAGAGCGCGCGTACGGTCCAAGTCATATAATAAAGTGGCTTATCCTTTTATGTATAGAAGCTTTTGACTGAAGGCAATTTAATCATAATTACTCCTGAGCTTAAGGGACCAGGTATTTGATCGTGAACTGTGACGTCACCATAAAACCATTGAAGTACATCAAATTCATTAAAAAAATAAACATTTGAAAGAAGGAATGTTTAAACAGAATTAAAAGCCCAACCTGAGTTATTTTGGACTGCACGGACGATACTGCGGTGGAGGGCACAGGCTTGTCTTTCTCCTGCGAGCCGTCCCTGCCGAGAAAAGAGGCAAAATGAGCAACAAAACAAGCGAGAGAGAAAACGGATTCAAAGCTGAACGTCGAGAACAATACACCCAGGAGAGAAAACGGAAAACCTGCTTGAATGACAAGTCCTGCAATACCAACACATCCACAAATGAAACTCGTGATGTAGTGACACAGAAGAACAGAAGAATTCTCGCAGGATTTGGCTCAATTACAGTTAGCAGCCGTGTCTAGACAGGGCAGCTGGAGCATGTTGCATTAGATCATAGGTGTCAAAGTCAAGGCCCGGGGGCCAGATCCGGCCCGCCAGACAATTTCCAGTGGCCCCTGAGATGATTTCAAATTATTCAATTAAATAGCAGCATTGATGGTTGTGAATGGCATGTTATCCATTACTAACAACCATAAAACTTAATTCCATAAGAAATGTTAAGCTAAAATGTAATTAGAAGTTAGTATTGTTATGTTTTTTACGAGTCTTCAATTACATTTCTTCTGAAAGATATGAAGGAGGATTTCCCAATTTTCATAGGAAAGAACCGCCCTCTACACGTTTTGAACAAAACTGTCTGGTCTTATTTGATGAGCACGAATCACCAGAATGATTGACAGTTGGGAGGACCAATAGTCTTGATGATCCACCCGGAAGTAGAAAATCTTCCCATATACCTTAGATATTTGGTCCAGTTTTGGTTCAGTCCACAGGACCTGAACTAATTCTAATCAGAAAAGAATATCCAATCTAACAAATGTGAAGTAATTTATATAGATGCCTTCATATTATAAAAAAGCATAATAAATGAAACCCACTTATTTTTTCGGCCCCTGACCAGCTCTTTCATTTTTTATTCGGCCCTCAACCAAAATAAGTTTGACACCCCTGCATTAGATGTTCTGTTGGTGTGCAAACGTCGAGCCATGAGCGAGTTATGTGTGTTTTGTCCACACGGTTTGTCATTTAAAGGAGACACACAATGCAGATGACTTGTTTCAACTTTTTACCGTGTTACAACATTGTGCATCAAAACAAAGGAAGGTTGCTCACCCGATAATCTTAAATAAACGTACCATTGTGCTTCATCAAAAACAGACCTGGAGTTGTTTTCAGATCCATCCATGCTAATATTAGGAACTTGCTTTTGGCACTAATATGTAACTTTGAACCTTCTGTTTAAATTTGTAATAGTCAAAATTGAAATAAACAAAAATGATTTAACGCCTCCCTCTGGTGGGAGCATAGGAAGTTGCAGGCATAATGCATTTTTGGTAACCTTTGTACTAGCTTTTACCTTACCTTTTTTTTTACCTTACCTTTGTACTAGTTTTACCTTCTACATAAGATAGTAATTTGCATTCTAAAACATAAAAAGTAAATAGTCTCATCTTTTTTGATGAACAAAAAAGCGTACTGTTGCTTGTTTAAGGCAAGGAAAGGTAGCATAATTCATACACGAGGGACCTGAAAGCGCTTTACAAAACAAGAAAAGGAAACATTACAATGATACGAGAACATTGAAATAGATACATGGGCAATCAAAATTCACTTTTTCAAACTGAGTATTTTCTTTTAATAGTGATACTGGCTTGTTTAAAAGTTCTGTAAGATGTGTGGGTCCTCTTTGCATTTGACATTTTATAATGAGAGAGTGTAACATCACAGGCTCCGCGTAGTCTTAATTAAAAGCAACAGGTGACATTTCATTCATGACCACTTCTGTTCACGGCAGTATGGACAGTGAACAGGGAATACTTTGAAAATGCAGTTAGTTATAGAATACTGAATAGCATACAAAAAATGTTTTATACTAAGGTTTTCTTACAGCAGGCATGTCTCTCATCAGTGATTCTGTCGTCTTGGTGGGGATCTTTATGGGATTACTCTAATATCTCCCTTTGTACTCACTTTTGAATCAGGCTGGTGTCATTTGCTCTCTGCTTGCCGAGGATTATCAACATTTCTCTACTCTGCAATCTCTTGCGATTTGTCTGACACTTCCTGTTGCAACTAGTCCCTCAGTGACGGTATGTCCTCTAAAGATATTCTAAAGGGTTCGCCACAAGTATCAAACATGTTTAATATTCCTGGAATTACAAAATTGGCAGCCATGGGTTCATCGTGAAGGGATTGTTGCAGCTCGTAACTCGCTGCACACTGTACGATGCAAGATGCATTGAGGATATGGAATTTGCCGTTGCCGTAAAATTGTTCTTCTTCTATACGTTGGTCCGTCGGTGGGAGCAGATCCCTCTCTCAAAGAGGGCCTCCCTGAGTTTTCTCACTTTGTCCCACTGCGTTTTTTAGTTTTTATTGACAGAGGCTGGAGGGTTGGTTATGATCCAGGACGTTTAAGGACATTTATGGACATTAGGCCTCCTGCCCCCTGTGAACAAATGGTTCCCAAGTGTTTGTTACTACTTCATTTTCTGTGTTTGAACTGTTTGATTATGATCTGTGTTGGTGAATTGACAACTTTACATAGTCCTCGGAGATGACTACTGTTGTGATTTAGGGCTAAACTGAAGAATATTGAATTACCAAGCTGCATCTACTGCTATGAATGAAGACCATGAAATATGCAACTGTAAACCATCATACCATGGCATTTTTTGTCACATAATTCATACCGTACATTTGAAATGATCTTGTCCCTAGTACTTAGCAGATCAATATGAACAGCCAGAGAATGAGAAGAAGGGGACGATCTGAAGTTTACCTAGAGTTTCCCAGGCTGGAGGCTGGTGATGCTCCTCTAGGGGAAGCGTACGGCGACAGCGATGACCCAGCAGCTTGGACAAGGCCTAATAAAGTACTGCTGCTTTTTTCAGACGGAGATCTGAGGAAAGATAGCGGAAAACATAAGTGATAAGTAGAAGTTCTGAAGTAGCTTTAAAGATGCAGTCAGTGATTTTTTCCAGATGCATTTTTTTTTATATTGTGGCAAAACGTCCCTAAACCCTAAAAATAGTCAAGTAATCATGTGTTTTAAAATAGTAATGGAATTGACCAGATGCTTGTAGTCTCCAAAAATTAATAAATAATATTTTGGAGCAGACCGATAAAAATAAACCAATGGGATTCGTTCATCCCCAACGAACCAATGGGATGCGTTTACCCTCCTTCACCCTCTTCCTGTTTTTTGCGAGTGAGTGCACCTGAGTTGGATTTTCTAAACGTGACTGAATTTTACGCCTGCGATCTTGCAGTGCATTCACAAGGAAATTTTCACTGACATCACGTGCGCGGGTCTCTCCGCTTCAAACAGTTCATAAAGTCTCACGTCTGACCACAGCAGCCACAGGTACCATGAGGACAAACACGTAGCTTGTTACATGTGGATTTTACTGCTCTACCGCACTCTCTGTAATGTTTAAATACTTTTTTTACGGACTACCCGTGAACGCCCAAAATACTAACATACGCGCGAGCCATCAAATAGTAACGGCTGCAGCAACACGTCTGTACTGTAGTAGGACAGAGTGCAGAGTAAACGTACAAACACAACCCATTGGTCTGATCATTTAGTGTCAGTGAACACATTACACTGTCCTCTACCTCTCCATAGACCTCACAGAGACAGCAGCAGCCGCGACTCTGCAGCTGTGTACACAGCCGCGATACGCGACTCCTCTGCTCATCAGGAGAATGTGACATGTTCATCTGATGACAGATGTCATTTGTGGATGCACGTTCACGTGTGCCGGTTGTTTTGGTTTGGTGGAGAGGCAAGGGGACAGGGGAGTGGTTTCAGTTGGTGCTACGGCTAAGATAACAAAACTGCTTACTGCATCTTTAAGAGAGTAGAGTTTCGTCTCACACATTTAATAACAGAGCACTGAGCCACTGAGGGGGCTGAAAGCTGATTGGCTGAGTGATGGCGGTCCTTTCTTTTGATCTGATCGACAGTGACCAATAACAATAGCATGTGAAAACTAGTGTTCTTCATAATTAAAAATGACTAGAAGAGTTTTGTGAGAAAAGGCTACTTAATGTTTTTGTAAACTGAAAATTTCTAGAAATCAATCAATTTCTACTAGAACAATATGTTGCACTATAGGTGGTATGACATTTAAACGGGATATAAAAACAAGTAACGAGGCAACAGTGGCTCAGTTGGTAGAGCATTGGCCTTTGAGCCTGAAGGTCGTGGGTTCGAGCCCACTATGAGACCTTCTCCACCGACTCCCACTGATGACTGCTGTCGTTGTGGTGGGGATGGTGCTATGTGTACTGGGTGGCATCTCTGGCCGCCCCCCCCCCCCCCAACCCAGAAATGGAATAAGGGGAAGGAAATGGATGGATGGGTGGATGGATAAAAAAAAATTGCAATTAGATATTTTGCAGAAATTGTGCGCAGACCACATCAAAAGTGGACTTCAGTATATTTGTGTGTGTGTGTGTGTGTGTGTATGTGTGTGTGTGGTGATTACCTAGACTCTGAGAGGCCCCGCGGAGCTGAGCTGCTGCTGCGGTGATGGTGCTGGTGATCTCGCTCCTCATACCTTCGCTCTGATGACGCCCCCCTCCGGCTCCTCCTCCCCGGGGAGTATGACCGCGATCTGGTTCCACAGCGGGACACAGCAGAGGCGGTTCGGATCAAAAACACCGCATGAAAAGAATGAGCAGAACGGACCAACGTAAGAGCAAGGACAAAAGTACAAGTGGGTTTCCAAAACGAAAACTATGAGTCCCTCTTTTTTAGGAGTTTTACTAAACCCAAAGTTTAAGTTTATATTTTTAAGGAAAATGTGCAGTTACATAAAAATGGATGTTTTTTGGACACTCAAAGACGCTTTACATGTCATTATTCTTTCACTCCATACACAGTGGTGATAAACTACTACTGTAGCCACAGCTGCCCTGGGGCACACTGACAGAAGCCCCCATTCTAGGGAATGGGGGTAAAGTGTCTTGCCAAGGACACAACGGCAGTTTGGCACTTGACAGCCGCTGGTGTGACTGATGTTCCCAGAGGTTAAGTGTCTTGCCAAGGACACAACAACAGCAGACAGTGGGAGTCGATGGTGAGAGTCGGGCTCGAACCCACGACCCTCTGGCTCTAAGGCCAATGCTTTACCAACTGAGCTACTGTCGCCCTCTGAATTGCAGTCCATTTCTCTCGACAGAAATGGACTGTCAAAGCAGCAGAATACACCTTGTGTTCAAACGTAATTATCTTGAATGGATAGCAGAATAAACTAAAACCCCAAATGAATGGAATAAAGTTGCTAAACATGCCAAATTTACATTAGTTGTAAACTTCTTGGGTTATGTGTGACATAAGTGTGTGTGTGTTTGACCATGGTATATGGTTCGTTAATCCTTACTTGTATAATGAGAAGTTGCTATAGTATTATGGGCATTAGGATAATGACTTAGCTTGTACAGTATCTTAACAGTCTGATCGCGCACTAGCTGTCGTTGTTAAAATCATTAAGACTGGTAATGTGACAGGGCGTGAGCATAATGATTAACAATTCTGTGATTTATATCCCGCCGCTACAGGGACTCAGGTCTCAGATGAAAAAATTAATAGAAAATGATTTGACGCTTCACTTCCCTCCACTCTCCAGCCTTCTCTTTTGCCCTTTTGTTATGGACATAAATATTCCCAGAAACAATGGAGCCAATCCACAACGAGAGGAATTAGAAGGTAAGAAGTAATTGCGTTGAAAATTAACAAGAAATATGAGGAAAATTAAAAGTGTAATGGAAATGAGCGAGAGCAGAAGTGTGCATTCAATATTATATTCAATAAAACTGCCACATCATTTTCTTTGCCGCTTTAATGCAGTGATCATCAGCGGCGCTGTGCAGTTCAGAAAACTATTTGACCCTGACCTTTCTGGTAATTCAATCTACGAGAGAATTAAACCTATTCTAATGACAACAAATATATATGAACAGTTTTCACTTTGCATTTAAAATAAGGGTCGTGTGAGTCAAGCAAATCAATGATTGAAACAAAGAAGAGTGAGCCTAAAATTATATTCATAGGATTGTGTGTAATTCTATTGCTAAGAGGTTATCATTTACATCGTGAATAGAATTCTGCAACAGTAGCTGGAATAACAGGGTACAACTAAGGCAGAGAGGTTCACCTTAAACTGTTTAACTGGAGTCGTCTGTGGTTTATGTTATTGCAATCTCCTCTCTTATTAGCATTAGTATTATTTAATACTATTATCTTCATGCAGTAAGTAAGTAATCTTTATTTATATACTGCCTTTCACAGACCAGAGTCCCAAAGCGGTTTACAATAATGGGCATTTGTCTCTCACTCCAGAGATGGGAGCAGGGTCGCCAGTGCAGGAGGCGCAGACCTATTGTACATGTTTTTCTTTTTTTTTAATGTTTGCACATTTTCTTTTGTTTGATTCTATCCATGCCAGATGTGACATGTAAATTTCTCCTGTGTGAGATCAATAAAGTCTATCTTATCTTAGAGGTAGTTGGAGCACCTGGGGGAAACCTACGCAGACACGGGGAGAACATGCAAACTCCCCTCAGAAAGGCCCTTTTCCGGGATTCAAACCCAGGACCTTCTTGCTGAGAAGCGAGAGTGCTATCCACTCAGCCACCGTGCTGCCCAGGTTTACAAAACAAAAAAGCAATTGAAGCAGCTGGTTTGCTTAAGAGGGCAAACCTTTCTCTAGTGTAAAGATAACTGCTCCTGTTCTCACCTGGACCTGTGCCCTCTCCTGTAGGCACTGGGGAGAGAGTGTTTGGACTTGGAGTGAGACCTAGATCTGGAGTTGGAGCGAGACCGTGATCTGGACCTTTTTTTGTGTTTCTTTTTCTTCTTTCCTTTGTTGCGCTCCCTGTCTCTGGAGTGAGAAGAGAACGCTGGCTCATCTCTGTTGCGGCGGCGCGAGGTGGGGGGCCTCTGATCTAGGACGTAAACCGGAGCCACTGAAGACAGGTCTGACAGAGCGCTGAGAGCTTCTTGCATCTGGGGACGAGCACAAAGAATGAATCGTCTCAGGATTTATGAATGGTCGCACAAACAAAGCCATGGATTCATTGCAGTCAAGGTATGCCTTTTGACATAAGGCCCGATGACACATTTCCCATAAGACCCTGGTCTCTGGTCAGATAATACATACGTCTATCCATCTACTGATGTATGCTGTGCACTGAATGTGAATCCCTGCCTGATTTGACGTGAACAAATATGCAAACGAAAATGAATACAGTCGTGTTAACCATGATAAATCTTGTTAATGTAGTTTTGCTTGGAAGGGTCAAAGGCTTTCAGTGCTGCTTATAGTATGTATGTTGTTATATAGCTCAAAATGTATCACTGTAAGAAGTGAGTCACCAGCTGTTCTAATCTCAACTGAAAGCAGAAAGTTAAGAGAAACATGTACTTTTTCACTTTTATGTACAGAGAACTAAAAAAACAAGTTATATGATTTTCTTCTAGTATTTTACATCACTTACAAATGACTGGTTGACATATGATGCAACTTAAAGACCTTATGCCGGGTTTGATTTATTTAGAAATATAGTTTTAATACCATTTTATATTAGAAGAGAACTACTAAAGGTTTCAAAATCAGTTGTTTTTTTTGTCTGATCCCCCCAAATCGAAATAACCCCATAGCAACGCCCTTAGAGACGAAAAAACTTCACAGCCCTTTGTGACGTCAGAGTGGGTACGTTTCAACGCTGTAAGTTGTTTACAATTTGGTATTCGTTCTTTTTTCGCGGGTATTCAAGATGACAAGGCCGTGTACAGCGAGTACGACATAAATACTAGATTGTAACACTTCATTGGCACTGAGATAGTCCAGTGGTTGTGTCGATGCACTGCCAGTCCAGAAACCGGGGTTCTAATCCCAGCTCAGACACATTTTCACTCTCAAAACGGCAATTTATGTGTAGTGAGCAATTGTCACCTGTAGAGGGCAGTATTGTGTTGGGCATCAGTGGAGAGAAGAGAGAAAAGGCAGTCCTGTGGCATAGATCCATGGTTTTCAGTGCATGGGCGTTACCCGCTATGACGTCACACACAGGTTAGAGCATAGACAGCTTAAATTCATGAAAAACAAGTTCTTTTTATAAAATATAGGATTTTTTTTGCCGGAATCTATTTCAGATCGACATTGTCATGCAATTTTGAGATCCACAATTAAAAAAAAAAAACCCGGCATAAGGTCTTTAATTGGACCTTTGAACTACCAATCAATTTTGTTGGTCTACTGGCACGCGCCACAGAAAAAATAAAGTCATAATAAAATTAAGCTGCATCTTCGTATGAGCAGTAGTAGTAGAACGTAGTAGAAAAAGATGGCAGAGTGGGCAGACGTGTGGATCTTGATATGGCTTAAAAGGATTTTTTGTTGTTGAAATCCGACGTTATAAGCAATGTTCCCTCTAATTTTTCATGGAAAAGGGCAAAAATACAAACCCCCCTGAGCGGCACGTGGAACACTCTGAGCGAGAGATCTCTGTTGAAAACCATTCATATTTGGATACACCTCCTGTATACACCTCCTGTACGCACCTCCTATACACACCTCCTGTATGCACCTCCTGTACGCACCTCCTGTACGCACCTCCTGTATACACCTCCTGTATACACCTCCTGTATACACCTCCTGTACGCACCTCCTGTATACACCTCCTGTACGCACCTCCTGTATGCACCTCCTGTACGCACCTCCTGTATGCACCTCCTGTACGCACCTCCTATACGCACCTCCTGTATACACCTCCTGTACGCACCTCTGTATACACCTCCTGTATGCACCTCCTGTACGCACCTCCTGTACGCACCTCCTGTATACACCTCCTGTACGCACCTCCTGTATACACCTCCTGTATACACCTCCTGTATACACCTCCTGTATACACCTCCTGTATACACCTCCTGTATGCACCTCCTGTACGCACCTCCTGTACGCACCTCCTGTACGCACCTCCTGTACGCACCTCCTGTATACACCTCCTGTACGCACCTCCTGTACGCACCTCCTGTATACACCTCCTGTATGCACCTCCTATACGCACCTCTGTATACACCTCCTGTATACACCTCCTGTATGCACCTCCTGTATGCACCTCCTATACGCACCTCTGTATACACCTCCTGTATACACCTCCTGTATGCACCTCCTGTATACACACCTCCTGTATACACCTCCTGTACGCACCTCCTGTATACACCTCCTGTATACACCTCCTGTACGCACCTCCTGTACACACCTCCTGTATACACCTCCTGTATACACCTCCTGTATACACCTCCTGTACGCACCTCCTGTACACACCTCCTGTACACCTCCTGTATACACCTCCTGTATACACCTCCTGTACTGTATACACCTCCTGTACGCACCTCCTGTACGCACCTCCTGTATACACCTCCTGTACGCACCTCCTGTACGCACCTCCTGTATACACCTCCTGTATACACCTCCTGTATACACCTCCTGTACACACCTCCTGTACACACCTCCTGTACGCACCTCCTGTATACACCTCCTGTATACACCTCCTGTATACACCTCCTGTACACACCTCCTGTACACACCTCCTGTACGCACCTCCTGTATGCACCTCCTGTATGCACCTCCTGTATGCACCTCCTCAGGTCTGACCAGTATAATTCATACAATGACATTCATACAATGTTCCATGCTGATAGAGCTGAGTGAGAGTATAAGAGTGACAAAAAAGGCGAAAGTGTTGCTACCCACATGAGGGCTTGAGAGATTTGCCACTGGCATGATGAGCAGGAACTCTTCATATACATAAAGGAGCAATATGTAAAAATCTGGCCAAAAGTGGTAATGCAACCTCTCTGACTCTCCCTGACTCAGGGTGCCAGATATGCAGACAAATCCAACTGGGACCATAATATCTGAACATCTGAGTTTTGTGAACAACAAATCTATAACAAACATCTTTTTCACAAAGGCCCCGATAGAAATCCTCACTTTATTCATTGTTTTGCAATTTATAATTTTAGAATCATAGTTCTGCGGCCACAAGTGACTTTACCAGTGAGATTAGCTTGATGCGGTGAGTTCTGAAACCCGGATGACAGACTTTCTAAGTGGTGAAACTGTGGAAGGCGGGACATTGAAATGTAAACAAAAACAAGATTCAGGGGCTGTAAAACTATCAGTTATAGAGGTATTTGAAAAGAGCATGGTTTATTATTATTATTAGGGGCGACAGTAGCTCAGTTGGTAGAGCATTGGCCTTAAGGCCAGAAGGTCGTGGGTTCAATTCCCACCTCTGCACCTTCTCCACCGACTCCCACTGCTGTCGTTGTGTCCTTGGGCAAGACACTTAACCCCACTTTGCCCAAAGCCCCCACTGAAAGATCAAGGCTATGCTCACACTCAGAGAGCAGCCGTCCTCCTGTGGACTCACCACCTGCAGAGGGTCAGTGAGGGGCTGGTGCTATGAGACTTGGGTGGCATCTCGGACTGCCACCCCCCTGACCCAGAAATGGATTAAAGGGAAGAAAATGGATGGATGGATGGATGGTTTATTAATACCTTTTGAAATATTAGAGCCATTTAATGATGACTTGACATGACAAACTAACATATTGCTACTTTAATGAGAGAAAAAAACAAAACAAAGGAGGACACATTCTTGTTGGGTCAAGAGGCTTTGTGATTTGAGGTGTGAAATGGTCGTGCATGAACAATCTATGAGACAAGCCCAGAACAGACAGACTGTCTCACTTACTCACATCTGGGACAGACTGTCTCACTTACTCACATCTGGGATAGAGCCACGTGAAGGTAGTCCCCGGGTCTCCATGAACTACATCTAGTGGGTGCTACAGTCACTCCTTCAACATACTTTCAGGTAGGATGAAGAAGAGACACCCAACTATCAACTGCAAAGTGGCTTTGAATGGCCCAACACAGCTCTGTCCAGTCACCACAGATTAAGAATCTTTGAACGAATTAAACGTGACACTAAAAAAATCTAAGGTCACATTTTATAACAGAAGGTTATATCTGAATTCACACCAAGCCTTTAACAAGCATCTGACCAACAATTGCATTCAGTGTTTCCCAGATTGAAAAAGGGGGCCCCTACACATTCCTTTCACATCACGGAAAATACTTGATTTTTGACATTTTTATTTCAAAAGGCTATAACTTAAAAGTGATAAGAGAAAAAGACTTTCTGTAAATTAGAAAAATATTAAGGATGGCCAAAAGGTTATGTAGGGAATCAGTGTACCTAACCAATTTGCATATTATGACGTCATATGGCGTTGGAAATTGTGGATTTTAGAGTCTTCATAAAATATTTGTATTCTTTTAACTGACAGACATATAAATCACTAAGACATGAACACACAAAGAGGACTCGTACTGAAACATGCTAAATGTTCAGGGAAATGGTAGAAAATGACTTCTGTGAGCAGTCTGCCCAGGCACCTGCGTCTCCCCCGCTCTCTCTCGTCTCCCCCGCTCTCTCTCGTCTCCCCCGCTCTCTCTCGTCTCCCCCGCTCTGTCTCTCTCGTCTCCCCCGCCCTGTCCCTCTCGTCTCCCCCGCCCTGTCCCTCTCGTCTCCCCCGCTCTCTCTCGTCTCTCCCGCTCTGTCTCTCTCGTCTCCCCCACCCTGTCCCTCTCGTCTCCCCCGCCCTGTCCCTCTCGTCTCCCCCGCCCTGTCCCTCTCGTCTCCCCCGCTCTTTCTCGTCTCCCCCGCTCTCTCTCTCGTCTCCCCCGCTCTCTCTCTCGTCTCCCCCGCCCTGTCCCTCTCGTCTCCCCCGCCCTGTCCCTCTCGTCTCCCCCGCTCTTTCTCGTCCCCCCGCTCTCTCTCTCGTCTCCCCCGCTCTCTCTCTCGTCTCCCCCGCCCTGTCCCTCTCGTCTCCCCCGCCCTGTCCCTCTCGTCTCCCCCGCCCTGTCCCTCTCGTCTCCCCCGCCCTGTCCCTCTCGTCTCCCCCGCCCTGTCCCTCTCGTCTCCCCCGCCCTGTCCCTCTCGTCTCCCCCGCCCTGTCCCTCTCGTCTCCCCCGCCCTGTCTCTCTCGTCTTCCCCGCTCTGTCCCTCTCGTCTCCCCCGCCCTGTCCCTCTCGTCTCCCCCGCCCTGTCTCTCTCGTCTTCCCCGCTCTGTCTCTCTCGTCTCCCCCGCTCTGTCTCTCTCGTCTCCCCCGCCCTGTCCCTCTCGTCTCCCCCGCCCTGTCCCTCTCGTCTCCCCCGCCCTGTCCCTCTCGTCTCCCCCGCCCTGTCCCTCTCGTCTCCCCCGCTCTGTCTCTCTCGTCTTCCCCGCTCTGTCCCTCTCGTCTCCCCCGCCCTGTCCCTCTCGTCTCCCCCGCCCTGTCTCTCTCGTCTTCCCCGCTCTGTCTCTCTCGTCTTCCCCGCTCTGTCTCTCTCGTCTCCCCCGCTCTGTCTCTCTCGTCTCCCCCGCCCTGTCCCTCTCGTCTCCCCCCGCCCTGTCCCTCTCGTCTCCCCCGCTCTGTCCCTCTCGTCTCCCCCGCTATTTCTCTCATCTCCCCCGCTCTCTTTCTCATCTTCGCCACTCTCTCTCGTCTAACAAACACAAGACAAAGGCTTCTCCGACACGTCACTGTCCCGGTGATGACCGGGAGGCACAATAATACATCTGTGAGAGGCACTGTTAGCAAAGACTTTAGCAGAGGCTGGAGGTCGCGGCGCGGTGCCCTGACGCGAGTTCCAGGCTTGTTCTCTCCAAATCTAACGAACCTCCAATGACAGCGCTGACCCTGAGAAACACAGTTCTCACTGACTCTGAGAATCACTGTTCTGACTCTGAGCAAAGTGTCTAAAGTTAGTGTTTGTTATGGCATAACACTTGCATGCTGCTGCAGCTGCACACGCTTCGCTATGATTCCCGCTCTGGTTCAATGCGGTCTTGTCAAATATTTTGTATGGGAGCATGACGTTTTTTTGGGCCAGGGAGGCAGTCTGACATGTCTGCCAACTAGGGGCAGGGAGTATGAATGAATTATGACAATGTTTGACACAGTCGGCTGTTTTAAACAGTGCCGCAGCTTGTCGACTTAAGTCGACTGTGGCGCCTGGAGGGTAAATAACGAAACACAATGTGTGGCGGTCGGTCTCGAATCTGTGGCGGTGCGCCACAGATTCGCCTATGTGTGGGAAACACCGGCATTACTCATAGGCTAACATGGAGATTAATATCAAAGTATCAAATACAATTTATGTGATTGAGGTTATGTTAATGCCCACCCTATGGTGATTGACATGATATGTCATGAAATGTGTTAACCCACGGCTCTTTATTTCTCTATAATGACAATAATTTGCTCAGCAGGCTTGTATTTCACTTCTGTCAGACTTATTAGGGCAAATGCAAGTTTCTTCAAAGTAACATTCAATGCACAATCTGAAGAATTAACCAGAGCCTGGATTTCCTCATAAGCTGCCTGAGGATGTCCTGAAGTGGTGATAACTGTATAAATGCCTCATTCAACTGTTGTTTAAAGGGCCCATATTAGGCTTTTTGACTTTACTCTGGTTTAAACATAATAACAGTGCTATTTGGCTTTCATACACATGCCCAGAGTAGCTTTTTCATTGATTCTGTCAACCTTAAGTTAGAGAGCTATGGTCAGCTGCAGCCTCTCTCAGAGTCCAGCGTGTGGTCCATAGACGGTAAATAAGTGTTTGTGCTTTTTTGTGTTAGCTTCATGTGACTTGGAGAAAATGTGCTGTTGGTGTAAATATGTGACGAGAGTATTTGGCCCGAAGACGGAGAATGAGGCGAATATGGATCGACATTGTTCGCAGGGATCTGCTTCGTATGCGCGAGTCTGAAATCCGCGACGAAACACGCAGATCTTTTTTTGCGAGTGACGGTGACACCAGCAAAGACTGTTCCAGAACTACAGTTACCTTGAAACGGGACCTAGTCAAAAGCTGATCTGGAAACGTGGTGTGGTTTCCAACATAAAAGATGCTAACGGGAGCCTCTGTGGGTACAATACAATTAACTTGCCGTATGTCACTGTGCACTAAATAATTAGGGTCTGATTTTGGATTGAGGACATAGGGCTCCATGTGACAGAGTGGCATTGTTGAAAAAGTTTATTCTCAGGTGTAAAATGACTGACAGTGAAAGCTGTACAGTTAGCTCTTGTTTACCTCGGAACTTAGCGTGATGCTACGTCACTGCCGTCGGGGGGAGGTGGGCTCACATGGCAGAGGAGCACTGATCAAAGCGTTTCACATGAACGGGGATCACTTCTATGCACAAAATGGCTATAATTTGGCAAGTTTCGAGTGTTGTACGGTGTATCACCCAAACTACTATCACACATGTGCATAAGATGGACTGTGAAAAATAAAGAAAAGCAAAATATGGCACCTTTGAACTTGTGTTGAATAACTGGGCTTCCCTACGGAAGCCTGGAAAAGCACAATACAGAAACTTCAAAAACTTTATCAGAAACTTAAAATTCCATTAAAGTAGTGATGAAGAAGGTAATTGGTCTACAGTAAATACCCTCATCATTTAACAGTGTATTTAAATACATCCACAGATGAGCTTCAAACACAGCCCAGAGGAGCCATTAAATTTTTAATATGGCGCAGACAAAATTGAGTTTGACAGCCCTGGTCTCTGAAATAAAAAGATACCAGTGCCATGTGATCTCATGATTGGAGCCATCTGATTGAAACAACACAGCTAAAGCTATGATGATTAAGGTGGCCAATATTCTGGGTTACCGAGGAAGGTGGCCAATGTGCTAGGTTATTGAGAAAGAAAGTGCCAGATATCATGGATGCAGGTTGGGAAAATATTTCAAAAACCACAATATTGGCAAAATAAAAATACATTAAAAAAATAATAATTGTTGACTCCTGCTTTATTTATTATTGAACTTGTGATTATGATTCTAATAATCAAGGGTAAATCAGGGAGCTGACATATAAAAAGCTTATCCAGACTCCAGACAGGGAAACGGTCTGCTCAGTGCAGATACCAAAAAATTGAAATGGCAGTGCAGTACAGACTACAACAGTCTTCTCTCTGCAGAAGAAGCTGTAATGCTGTTTATTGTCCAAATAAATTAGGACTATGCGATAGATATTTGCAATATGCCACCTATAAGACTAGAAAAAAGAAAACACTGAAGATCTGCCCTTTTTGTTACGGTGCTCCAGTCCCGTCACAGAGAAAAGATGAGCACGACAAGAAACAAGGCAAGTCTACAGAAAGATCACGTCAGCTCCTTCTGCAAATTCGACAAAGTCATGACATCAGCATTTATCAGTCCTCTAATCTCAAAAGACTGACACTTTCGCTTTGCAAAAATGCTAAGCCAATGTTTAGAAATATTCTAAATAAGATCTGAGGTAGTGTACCACAAATAGTTAAAAAACTACATTGTATGTAATAAATTCTTCAGATAAAGTTCCAACATCAATTCATGGGATTATTAAATATTCCCATGAGAGTGTGAATTTCCCTTTAGAAACATACATTCATTTATAAAACATGTTTAGATTGTATGTGCACTAAAACAAATATGGAGGTGCCGCTGTCCTTGTGTTAACCCGCGGCTGATGTACAGTTTGTGTACGTTCTCTTTATTTCTCTATAATGACAATAAATTGCTCAGCAGGCTTGTATTTCACATCTGTCAGACTTATTAGGGCAAATTCAAGTTTCTTAAAAAGTAACCATCAATGCACAATCTGATGAATTAACCAGAGCCTGGATTTCCTCATTAACTGCCTGAGGAAGTCCTGAAGTGGTGACAACTGCATAAATGCCTCATTCAACTGTTGTTTAAACTTGTGTTGAATAACTGGGCTCCCCTACAGAAGCCTGGAAAAGCACAATACAGAAACTTCAGAAATACAGATGAGCTATTACATTTTAAATATGGTGCAGACTTAATTGAGTTTGACACCCCTGGTCTCTGAAATAAAAAAAGATACCAGTTGCATGTGCACTGATCAAAGCAACACAGCTATAGATACTGGATAGTGGTGGTAGAACATGTACTGTACATCCTAAACAAAATGTAATTATATAAATCTATTTTGAAGCATACATTGAGTACAGATATAAAAAAAAAAACAATAATAAAAAAGTCCTTCTAGAAAGCCTATAATCTTATGCTATATGCTATAGACACACACTTTACAGGCATGTTAAGTAAAGTTCTTAGTAGGAGTGCTCAGGTTCAAAGCAGAAGGACTGAAGTGGCTCACGCAGTGACAGCAGCCACCTGTCCCAGCGGGACAGAGGCCTGGTACTGCATATCTGTGAGGGCCTGACATTGAGCATCCATCAAATGGACAGGCCATCTACACTTCAAATAACCTCGCTGCACCTTATTTACACTAGAAAGAATACAGCCCTGTGAGACAGGACAAAACACTGCATCCTACTTTAAAAACAGTCTTATCACTAAGCGATTTCTGCTATGGAGGCACATCTGCTACTTAACTCGTTTGAGAACAAAAGAGTGCCGATAATAAAACAGTTTGTTCTTGTAGAATTTTTTCTTCATACAATCACAGGAATAAGAATGTTTCATCAATTCCAATATATACAATAATATTTTTCAGCTTTATTCTGAAATATGCAACTGGTTTGGCAAAAAAAAAAAAAAAAAAAACGTTTTGAGATTGTCCAACGGACGGCAACTCTATATAGACCCCTGGAAATTTCAAATTCGTAAAGCCTATGGGGGCCAGACACGCATATTTTAGAGTAGGTACACAAAATTCAGATTAGTAATAGATCTCTGAGACAATCTTAAAACTCGCCTGGTTTTTCTTCATGCAGATTTCTGGTCCTATCAGGGGCAAATTCATCGGAAAGTACACTGCATGTCGCTTATGGGACGGTTGTCCGTGAGGCGGGTGCAAGGGCTTTCATCGCCGCTTGTGACTTTATTCTAAGAGCTCTTCATTTACCTCATATTGTGCAACTGCATCTAGTTCAGCTCTCTTGGCCTCTGGCTCTCCAGTCTCTGGTCCTCTCAGAGTCTGAAGGAAGAGTGCTGCCTTCCTCTTCCGCTCTGCCTGGAGTTGCTTCTCCTTAGACTCTTTGGATGCCTGGGCCAGTTTCTCTCTGGCGGCTGCAGCCAGACGGTCCTCCAGTTTGTGCTTGGCTGAAGACAGGCCGAAGAGGGAAACACAATAAGTCATGTGGTTAGAGGAGAAAACTACTGCCTGCATGTTGGTCCCATTTTAGATTTATACTTTACATCATAAAAACTGTTGAGGCACCAGAATGTTTTGTTCAATTGTAATCCAGTGGTCATACCTTTTCTGAAAAAATAACTATGAAACCAGAATGTAACTTTACATTTTTTATCAATTTTGTTTGGAAAAATAATGCTTCACATCTAGCTGCATATGTGAGATACTTTTTAGGCACTTAAAACTAATTTCTAAATCTGTAATTTCAAAGAAGGGGTTGATGAGCTTAATGCACCCTAAAGTGGGGTACAAGACTCCCAGGGACTCTTGTAGGGGGCCTCACACAAACACCTACACAAAAAAATAACTAGATTTCAATTAAATTTACTTTACGTAATGGGTTAGACTTAGTAGATAAAGCTTGTTTATAAAATAGTGGATGGGGCTGGAGTGCTTCTTGGATATAAAAAAGTAAGAAAGAAATGTTGTATATAATTTGAAATAGATTTTTTTCTATTTGATATATTCAATTAAAATTATTCTTGTACAGCCCTAAATCATGATAAAATGACGGACGACTTTACAAAATTGTTGAATTTGCCAACACAGTCAGATCAAATAATTCAAACACAGGGGGTAAATGACCACTGTCCATAAATGTTAATATAACAAAAGCTGAACAATACCACACTGGTATATTACATTTGCACTTCAGTGTGCGCGCACTGACGAGTAAATATGTAGGATGTAAAGCTTTCTGTCTGAACCACTCATGTACTTATCGGAGGAAAGTGCATTTACTGTGTGCCTGTTTTCTGAGCCATCAATACAGATTAGCGCCAGGCTGCCACTGATTCTCCTGCTATCTGATCAAGTTAGGTCGTCTGACTGACAGCCACTTTGCCGCACAGCAAAGCCAATTCACTGGGCTATTTATTAGGCTTTTGCGGCATCCTCCTCCCGTCAGTCAGCTGTGAGGAAGAGTATTAGGCTGTGTTGCAGGACCTAAGCAGATCCGTCAGCACAGCTGATGCACAGATGTAGCACATACGGTCGTGATAAAGAGACTGTAAACAAAAATGTGCAAAAAATCATTTCTTTCAAAGACAGCATTTGAATAATCTACTTTAAGTAGTTTCTGAGAAATGGCTAGTTTTAAATGACACGCATTCATAATCATGTTGTCCAACAAGGTAGCAAAATAACATTCACAACATAAAGTAAAAGCTGATGAATAACCGACCAGACCAATGTAATATGTTGGGTTCTTGTTCTGGAAGGGCAGACTGGCTTGTTTCTCAAAGTTGGTACCAAAGCAGTTATTGAAATCTTATTGGGCAAAGAATCATCATACATGAAAGTTAATGCAAATAATATGCATCTCTATGGAGTGTATACTTGTTAGTATTAGATAGCAATATGGCCTACGTGCAGGACTGTACGCAGACTCTGATGATGACTCCATGTTTTGACTATGATGTGACCGTCTCTGTGTGACACGTCTTTCCATGTGTGACGTGACAATGACTATATAAACTGTGTACTGCCTTTATTCTGTCTGAGAGAAGGAAACAATGGAAACCACTGGAACTTGAGAGAAACTTAAATAAACCTCCAGAGTTTGGCGCACCACGATCCGTCTCTGTCTGCTTCATTCCTGACATACTTTTGACTGAAAGCAATAAACATCCTGGCAATGTATCAATGCCATTTTGAAATTTGCCCAAATTTTTCTCTCAATTGATTGACTTTACTCACTGTATAATGGAGAGGTTTTGCCTATAATTTCATCCAGTGAAACACCAATCCTGGTTAAAAAAGGCATGTCATGTTGTATTTATTTGCTAAAACCTACCTTGTTTAGCCTCAAGCTCTTCTAAACTCAAAGTGGGCTTCTTTTCTTCCAGTGCAATAGGAGGAAGCACTTCCCTCTGTATCAGCTCTGGTACAGCAATTGCGACTTCTGAAACGTCTTCTTCCGTTTCCAACTACCAAAGATGTTTATAAGAGTTTGAACAGGATTTCAAAATGTCACAGTTATTTCAGCACAATCTAAGTATGACTTAAACGGCAGAAGTAAGTAATAATTGAGAATAATGCAAGAGACCTTTTCTTCATCGGAGTCATCGTCAAGCCGCACTCTGTTTTTCTCCAAAAGAAGCATGTCATTTTCTTTGACTTTGATTGCAAAGCTGATGGGTGCAAACGAGGCTGAAAATACACAAAAAGTAACTGTTTTTAGGGCGTAGACTCAAAAGTGACGTGGGGCAGGAGGAAAAATCAAGGCAGATATGATTTCTCATAAATTAAGGCATTTTTTAATTCACAATTTAGAAAGGAAACCAAGTTGAAATACAAATATAAACTGTATACATAATTATCAAAAAGGTCAAATGGGTTCAAAGTGAAAATGTATTGGAAAAGAAAAACTTTTAGGCAAAGACCAAGGCAAAGTTTCCACAGACGAAAACATAGCTATTAACACATCTGTTCAGAGGTCGAGACTCAATCACTTTAAACATTTCTGAACAGTGAATATTGCCACTGTGCATGAGAGAAGCCCGGCCTTCTCCTCGACCCGGTGCTGCCTTGAGCTGAACCTAGAATTTCAATTTGCCTCTGTGTATTTTTATGAGTGCTGCCAGCATTGTGACAGCTAAATTCTTTCATCTCTGCATGCATATTTCAAGTCTGACACAACCAAAGAAGATATCCAGGCGTAGATGGTATTAGACAAACATAAGCAGGAACTTTCCAAACTGCATGCAGACATATAAACAAGTTTATTTACCTAAAGTATTTGCATCTCATTTACAAAGTGTCTGAACTCAAGAGGCAGTTCTGTGAATCTCTACCTTTGTTCATCTTAGAATCCTGAAGGGACTCGTCTGCCTGAAGCTTATCGCTGGCGTCTTCTGGGCTCGTCTATAAAGGAAAGCAAAGAAAAGCAGATGCAAAATAATTTGAATCAATCTTCTTTTCACACCATAGACTAATGACAATTGAAGATACAGTGTCTGCAAAGTCAGTTATGGTTTTTGAAGTGTGTTCGTAAACTCTATATAAAGGAGAAGAGCACAGACTGAAATGAAAAGGAGCTATACATCCATCCATCCATCCATTTTCTACCCTTTAATCCATTTCTGGGTCAGGGGGGTGACAATCAGAGATGCCACCCAAGTCTCATAGCACCAGCCCCTCACTGACCCTCTGCAGGTGGTGAGTCCACAGGAGGACGGCTGCTCTCTGAGTGTGAGCATAGCCTTGATCTTTCAGTGGGGGCTTTTGGGCAAAGTGGGGTTAAGTGTCTTGCCCAAGGACACAACGACAGCAGTCATCAGTGGGAGTCGGTGGAGAAGGTGCAGAGGCGGGAATTGAACCCACGACCTTCTGGGCTTAAGGCCAATGCTCTACCAACTGAGCTACTGTCGCCCCTAGGAGCTATACAATTTATTTTAAAAAGAGATAGTTATGATTGACAAGATAAAAAAATATTGCAGGGACCCATCAAAAGGTATTATATCCTGTAATTTTGAAAATACGCAATTACATTTGAATTGAATGCAAAACATGGCTAAAGAAAGTGATCATGTTTGAACTTTCCTTTGGTAATAGAAAATATAAAGTGAAAACAAACAATCAAAAGGCTATATATACTATATACTATTAGGGATGTATTCAAATTGTTTATTCACAATTTGAATAGTCAAATAATTCAAAAATTGTTTTGTAGTTAAGATTTAATCATACTGAGAAAAGGTTTTATGACTATGATAATTCTATAATAACAGCAACAACCATGTGTAACATGGATAAGTCCCGTTTCCACCGCAGGAGTTCCTGGTTAAAGGAGGGGGGTGGGACAGCGCAGGAATCTTCCTCTCACATGGGGACCATGTGAGTGGCCGTGTCTCCCCTGCAGATTAGGACCCCTCGGCAACGTCATGAGTTTCAATTGCAGCGTAATCAATAATTATTAATTTTACGGTTGGAACTGCTCCAGCTGATGTGTCTTAAAGCTGCACTAACTGACTTTGGGATTTTGAAGCCGCGGACTCGCTGGCCTCGCTCTTTCTGCTCCCCTCCCCGCACCCACGAAGCTATTGCCCCCCACACACACCCACTGTTGTTAGCGGATCCAGGGTCTTCCAATATGGATAATACATGGATATGGATTTTCACGTGGATGCCGTGACCATAGAACGATAGAACCGGGAAGTGCGGAGGAACGAGACTTTCTCTTGGATGGCTGTCTCGCTGTGTAAGCAGAAACCGGTGACGAAGACGAGGAAGTTTCAGGTTAGCTCCGCCGCTTGTTGTGCTAACTCAGCTGTCGGTGCTAACAGGGACCTGTAGATTTCTCACAAAAGTGGGGGCCAGTGGTCCGCGGTGATTGGTCACAATCTGCGACCCGAAACACATTCTCTTCCTTGTTTCATCAAAACTCGAAAATATAATGTCACGCCAGCACAACCCTGCGCTACTTTTTCTTCAAAAGCACGTTTATCCCAATGCACTGCATGGACATGGATAGCATTTTTGTAATGAATACAAAAATACAGTCAGTTAGTGCAGCTTTAAATATTTTCATTTCGCCACGATGCCTCAAACCCGGTCTTAATATCATTGGTGCCGTAGAAAGCAATTGCCTGCAGTTCATCATCCGTCCATTTACTGTACATCTTCTGTTGTTGTTTTCCATTTCCGTGGTGTCTGCTAAGCTAATGCTGCTGGATATTTTGTTTTATTGCACCGTTGGTCCCCGTAAAATTTCCTGTGAATGACCCTGTGGGGGAGGTTCCAGCAGAGGAGGCACACGCCCTGTAAAGTCACCCCTACGATCCTGCGGTGAAAACACGGCTATAGACCGCATAAATTATGAGTGGACTGACAGAGTGCTGACATCACCAATAGTGTTCTCCCATTATTATCTCTTGGCTTAAACAAATTAAGCAAGCACTGATAATACTCCGTGAGATGCAGGAACAAGTCTGTGAGACCTTGAGGGATATTTTTGAATTAGGTCTCTGACAACTTTCTGTCGCTCCATGGTAATTGAACTTCTGTTTCAATAGTCATTAGAGCGGCCCGACAGACTATGACACTTTAAACAGCCAGAGAATGAGCTGCTGACTCAAACTATTGTGTGAAGGCATCCATAATACCAAGAAAATGCAGCAATTGTCACTGTTCTCAAATGCACAATCTCTGCAGGCTTCAGGTTCACATTGGGGTAACGTTGAAAAGGCTCCAGAATAAATGCACAATATACAATCAGCATAGCACGCTTGCTTCAGAAAACAGAAAAATAACAACCAATTCAAATCCAAAATAGGCCAATGCCAAACATAGCGTCGTGTGTAATGTGTTTAATTGACTACAAATCTAATCTGACAACAAAACATGCTTAATCCAAATGCCGTGAGGATGGGAGCAGCAGGCGTGCTTAAAATAAATGAGGTTTGTCGCCATTTTCCAGCATATGTTATACATGGTGCATGGGATTCCAGGGCCAAGGCACTACATTGTTTCGTTAATTTGTCATATAAATTCTTCACATTTCACATTTATAAGAAAGTCACTATCGACTACATACAGTATGTACAGCATGGATCTAGTTCAATTAGCCGTGTTAAGCCAATGTCTATTTAAAAAGTAAAAACAATACAATTACAATCCAAGGTGGGAATTACAAATGTTCAATCAATACTAAAAGTAGCATCAAAACTAATTTGAGCAAGAATAAATACAAAATAAAATTACATAAATAGCAATCAGTTTTTCCAGTGTGAGATCAATAAAGTCTCTTATTTCCTGAGCATTTTTATAAACTCAGGAAAGGAGAGTGTGGCGCTGCACTGCGGCGACACGGACTGCAGAGCTGCTGCATTTTCGTCTGTCTATCGTGATCTAGATGTGTCAAGTGTCTGCTTTTTCGTATGTGATTAATGTTGGTGCAACTCTGAACAATGGCCAAATTTGAGAGGAATCTGTACATTGGATTACTGTGTTGGCTCATCACCGTAAACTTCTGTCAAACAACCACCCTATACGCCAACCAGGAAGTGCGGGTGTATGACAGAGAGACTCTACTAAGTCTTCGTAACTTCCCAACTTCAACCAAGCTTCTGATCGACTTACCAGAAGAAATTAAGGCCAATCCGGAGCATCACTCACGTTATGAAAGAAATAACAGTGGAGGAAAGCAGCGGAGATCAAGGAGGCGGGGCCGACGCGGAGGGGTGAGACAGCGGCTTCGGAGAAGGGGGAGTAGACCCCCACTGCCCTCAGTGATTCTGTTCAACGCACGCTCACTTAAAAATAAGATAGATGAGCTCAGGGTGCTCACCGGGACATGCTTTGAGTATCGTGAGTCCTGTCTGATGGTTGTCACAGAGACCTGGCTTCATCCTGACATCCCCAGCTCACTTGTGGAGCTGAATGGCTTTACGCTCGTGCGCGCAGACCGGAGCTATGAGTCTGGCAAAGTGCGCGGTGGTGGAGTCTGTATCTACATCAGGGATGTATGGTGCCGTCACTATACTGTCAAAGATGCCATCTGTGACCCGGACGTTGAATACCTTTGTGTCACACTCAGACCTTTTTATCTCCCGAGAGAATTCGGGAATATAATCATCTGTGCTGTGTACGTGCCACCCAGTGGTAACGCAGGAAGAGCTGCAGCACAAGTGGCTGAGTGTGTGCACAGACAGTTACAACATACACCTGATGCTCCAGTACTGATCTTAGGGGACTTCAATCACTGCAAACTGGATTTTTCCCTACCTGGTTTTGAACAATATGTGAAATGCTTCACTAGGAAGGACAAAATACTAGATAAATGCTATGGAAATACTAAAAATGCATATACAGCAAAAGCTAAGCCACCCTTGTCCAACTCTGACCATAATACAGTACATCTTATTCCTACATATCACACTGTCCTTAAAAGGAGCAAACCCACAATAAAAACTGTTAAGGTTTGGACAAATGAAAGTATTGACACATTAAAAGGCTGTTACTTAAGTACAGATTGGGATGTGTTCCATGAGCCTGACCTAGATAAAACCACAGAAGTTATAACGTCATACATACATTTTTGTGTTGATGCTGTTATACCCACAAAGACAATGAAATTCTATCCAAACAACAAATCCTACATCACAAAAGATGTTGAGGATTGCATTCTACGTAAGAAGGCTGCATTTAGGAACAATGACCATGTAGAAATGAGATCCATACAACGGGAGCTAAAACAGAAGATCAATAATAAAAAACAACAATATAAGGACACAATTGAAAATAATTTCAGGAACGGGGACACAAGGAAGATGTGGGCCACCATGAAAACCATCACGAACATGACTCCCAGCAAGAAGCCCCTGTGTGCAACAGACGAAAGAAAAATGGCAAATGATTTGAATACTTTTTATTTGAGGCATGAGTCGCATGATTTTTCTGCTGATTGTCGTAGAACATTAATCAACTCAAGAGTCCAGGGAGCCTCAAAAATTGACATCAGTGCTGAGGAGGTCACAAAAATCTTTAAGATGTTTAACACTAATAAAGCTACTGGCCCCGATGGTATCTCAGCCTTCCTCCTGAAGACATGTGCAGAGGAACTCTCACCAGCTTGGCCCCCTGTCTTCCAGAGGTCAGTGGACTCACACATCATACCATCCCAATGGAAAACTGCAACCATCATCCCTGTCCCTAAAATACCTGTCCCAAAAGAGGACAATGATTATAGGCCCATAGCCTTGACCTCCAATGTTATGAAGTGCCTGGAGAAGCTGATGGTAAGAGAGCTGAAGTCAGACATAGGAAGCAAGTTGGACCCGTACCAATTTGCTTATAAAAACAATCGAGGCACTGACGACGCAGTGATAACAGCAGTGCATAATGTTCTCCAACACCTGGAACACCCTAAAGCATATGCCAGGCTGCTGTTTATCGACTTCAGCTCAGCGTTTAACACTCTGCAACCACACATCCTTCTCAAAAAATTTCAACAAATGTCCGTCAACCCATACATAATCCGATGGTATCACTCATTCCTTTCCAACAGGAGCCAGCAGGTTAGAGTGAACCATACACTGTCTGACATGAAGACCATCAACACAGGAGCGCCCCAGGGCTGTGTCAGCTCACCGCTCCTCTTCACACTGTACACAAACGACTGCACCAGCAGCCATTCCAGCATTCTCTAATCATCAAATTTTCAGATGACACTGTTTTATTAGGACTCATGGACAAGGACACAGACACTACCGAATACAATCTGCAGGTGGAGCATTTTGTACACTGGTGCGAGGACCACCATCTTATCATCAACGTAAAGAAGACAGAAGAAATCATCTTCGACCCCGGACATCTTGGAAATCACTCTCCGCTCTCCATCCATGGCTCAGCGGTAACACAGGTACACTCATATAAATACCTGGGAGTCCACATCGACTCAAGTCTGGTCTGGGATGTACACGTGAACTCTGTCTGCAGCAGGGTTCAACAAAGACTCTATTTCCTGCGGAGATTAAGACTTTTTGGAGTTGAACAGAAAATAATGACGCTATTTTATCATGCTGTAATTGAGAGTGTAATAAGATATGGTATGTGTGGTGGTTTGGGAATTTGACTGTTAAAACAAAAGCAGAACTTTACAGATTAGTGGCGCACAGCCTTTAAAGTCATGGGAGTTAGGGAGCATCCATCTTTGCAGCAGATATTTGAGGAGACTGTAATTAGACAGGCCAGGAAAATCACCTCAGACCCCTCCCATGTCCTCCACTCTCAGTATGAGCTCCTCCCATCAGGCCGCCGCTACAGAGTACCCACTAGAAATAAGAAACGATATCTAAACCGGTATAAGAACTCATTCCTACCCATATCTGTGAACCTCCTGAATGCAGGCCATCGAGCAGAGCGGTGATGGTTTATGTCGGTGTCACTGTGTTGTGTTTTATGTCTGTCTTATGTGTATTTTCAATGTAGCAGCCTGTGAGTCCAAGACAAATTTCCTACGGGACATAATAAATTAATCTTGAATCTTGAATCTTGAATCTTGAATAAACGATAAACTATATCAGAATAACTTGTAGAAAGTAAGTAAGTAATGTTTATTTATATAGCACATTTTACCGACCAAGCTCACCCAAAGCTCTTTACAATGTTCAGAGTAGAGTTTCGCTTTTCAGCCCGAGCCCGAGCCCAAGTTCATTTCAGCGCTCAGCAGTCGGGCTGTGCCGGGCTCGGGCTCCTTTTTTTTATTTTTTTTTTATATATATATTTTTTTAATCATTATTATACTTAATGATATGCATATATGTATTTATTAATAATAATGTCCATTGATTGACAACAAGTTATTTAAAAAGTTAATATATTTATAACACTGTAACCGACGTGTCCTACAGCCGCGGCAGGCCGTGAACGCATCATCCCTGTAAGTAGTAGTAAGTAATCTTTATTTATATACCGCCTTTTCACTGCACATCGGAGTCTCAAAGCGGTTTACAATTGCAAGCGAGGCGAGAGTGCTATCCACTCAGCCACCGTGCCGTGTGTTTTTCCTGTTGAATTCTATGGTCAACAGCGAACACACGGAACATTAATAGAAATGGATCGAGTGGAGGAACAAAACAAATTCAGAAGTGGCTAAACTTGCAATTGGAAGGTGAGTGCGTACAACAAGGGAAATCAGATGCATCGGGCTTCTGTCGGGCTTGGGCCTATTATACAGCGTTAATTGGTCGGGCTTATACGGGCTCGGGCCGGGTTTGATTTTTCAAGCCCGACTCTTCTAGTTCAGAGTCAGATATTGTTACAATCATTCCACACACGGTGATGACGGAAGCGAGTCCAGAACACACTGGACCATCAGCTCCAATCAACACCATCCATTCACTCTCTCATCTACATTCAGACCTATTGTGCATGTTTTTAGTGGTAGGGGAAACCGGAGCACCCGGAGGAAACCTACGCAGACACTGGGAGAACATGCAAACTCCACTCAGAAAGGCTCTTTTTCCGACCGGCATTCACCATAAGGTTGTATAAACCTTATGGCTCACATAAAAAAGTGAATCATTTGATCAAAAAGAGCATCTATAAATAATATATGTGGTATCGTGACAACTCTATCCTCAACTCCCATACAGCCATCTATGTTGAGAGATTTTCATGCTTTTTTCTTAAACATGAAACCAAAAACAATAGTTTGTGGCAATGTGAATAGCTACATTAGCCACAGCACCGAGCTCAAGTCACAAAGCAGGGTTTTGTGACAGAAATGTGAGCTGCTGCTGTGGTGGGTGCAGTCAGAGCGGGATTCTAATGGGCCACACTTCCCCACACACTGACAGCCTAATGGATTTGATTCGTCAGATGACAAATTACTCTTTGTGGAACTTTTTCAATCATTTTATACTCCTTCTTGCCTCTGGCTCCACACTTGTAATAAAGGGTATGTACATTTTAATGGAATGCGTGCGACCATGAAACTACAAATGTTTTAACAAATGTGGAGCAGCCCATACACAGTGTTCAGTGTTGCTTATACCTCATTGATCCTCTGGTCCTAGTTTACGTGGAAACAGAATAATTAGACATATATGCAATTTTCAGCGATCAAAGTTTGCTGGAGAACAAAGTGACTCTATTTTGATTGGTGTTTGCAAAGTTTTACATTTGATATATGGGTATTAATGTTATTATTTATTATCTATGTGTTTCTCATTATTATTCTATTTTCTCAAGGCTACAGTAATTATTTTGAATTGTTAGCTCCAATAAAGGAGGTAAATATGTGTATTATTGGATTTGCTTTTAAATCCCAGAGATTTACTGAAAATACACTTTTCAGTAAATCTCTGGGATGCTCAATGTAGAGATTTTAAGGGGATCAGAATCACCGTCTGGGCCTGCAGTTAATTTAAAGGAATGGAACTGGAGCTCCAGGAGACAGTCTGTGCTCTTCAAGGGAAAATACATGATGCAAGTTACTCCAAGAGATTTTGTGCGTGTCAAACCTATGTTATGTTTTTTGTAAAATCAACTAAAGCGCAGACAGCTACAAGGCAATTAGAATTGAGTCGGTTCAAGACGTTATGTGCATTGAACATTTTTAGCCTGCGTCTAAAGTTCAAAGTACCTCTGGTAGGTTTTTCCCTTCTTTCTGCATGAAGTATTTCTTCTTGAACTCGTAGTAGGTGTTGTACTGATGCCAAGGCAGCAGAAAATCAAACCTATAGCGGAAAAAAGTATGAGTAAAAGATGAGATGCGGAAGCTCATTAGGGACATGTCAAAATATGATAAAGGAGCTTGTATGTTTAGGCAAAGACCAAAATGAGCGTTCCTTAAACTGGGATTTAATTTAGAAAACAAATTACACTCACCGCGGATCATTCTTGGCTCGAACGCTTGACTCAAACTTCAATCCGTTTCTGGCAACGTACTCGGCCAGTTTGTCTATAACAGGCTGAGTGTCTGGGGGCGGGGGGGTGATGGCTGGAGTGGACAACGAACCTTCAAGTTTTGAACTTTACATGTTGACGATGGGAAAAAATGAAAAATCCGATTAATTGTATTATTTATCACTCAAGAGGAGATTTTTTGGGTTACTGTTTGTGCTTTCTTTTTGCATTTTTTTTACCATTATAAGTTAATCTAGTGGCCTCTGTTTTGACAACAACAACAACTCAGACTACAACAATATGTTTGGCCTGTTGAGTGAGGGATGGTACTCTTTTTCACAGGAAATCTGATCAAAAGATGTGACAGAGGCCAAAAAACTAGTTATGGATTCATCACACAGTTAGTGTAGATGTATCATAAATATGTGCAAAGTATTCTTGTTCTTGTTGGTTTCCTCACCTGGGTTCTTGTAGACTGGCCGGTGGAGTAACAGTTGGTGGGATCTGCACAGGGCTCACTCCGGGAGGGGTTAGGGTCTGCGCTGGGCTGGGGTTCATATGAGGCAGGGCAGGGGTGCAGGGCGGAGGCAGGGCGGGGGTCGGCATGTTGCTGTAATAGGCTGCGGCATCAATGCCTGGTGGAGGCGGAGCTAAACAGAACGTACCATCCGGAAGCATGTAGTAGCCATAGTACACCGCTAAAAGAAAAAAAAAAAAAACAGACACATGAGTATAACCGGGACTCAAAAAAATTTCTAACTCAAATCATGCATTTTAGAGGAATATAATTAATTAAATCCGCAAGCAGCTATGAAAGCCCTCGCCACTCTTGCAGCCGATTTAAATGCAACATTGGTGAGGATTGGAAAAGTTCATGTCAGAAGGCTCCCATAGGTGGAGCTCTAGAGTCAGATTAAGTGTGTTTAACAACATAGCTCGCTCAGACACAGCAGACTGCTGGGCAGCAGACTGATAGACAGGCACTCTTCCGCAGGAGCGAGGCAAGCTCCAGGCTGGTACTCAAACTGGGCGAGTGACATGTGGAAGTACCGCTGAAAGCAAAACTCATCCGTATGCAGCTCCTGGAGTAAATGGCGAAACTCAGCAAACACTGCAGCCTTTCAAGTCTGTGGTGAACCCAGAACACATTGTGAAGAAACCCCACGACAACATTGTTTGGCTTTATATAACAACTAAAGGCTCGCTTCTCTCGGGAAATCCACCGTTGTCTCTGAACTACCGGCAACAGAGAAGCTCCTCCCACCGGGCATCAGGCACGTCAGGCGCGTCAGGAGCTTCAAGCACCAAAATGACAAAAATAACCCAGCATCAAAAGCGTTTTTAAGCTTTTGGTCTGAACGCGTTTTTCTAACATTTTCTTGAATATTGTATATTACCAATTCATCCAGATGGGGAAAAGACCTCTGCGATGAAAAACCTGGAATTAAATCAAATAAGAAAACACAAAACCTTGAACTACCTGTAGGTGGCGCTGCTGCACTCACAGTTGTGTGTCGACCGGAGCACTAGGCCCTATTACTTTGAGACAGGTGCTAGTTCATATTAGGCGTATGATTTGTGTGTCATCGCGTTCAGGCCATAACTTAAAGGAATAGGCCACCGTTTTTACTAGGGCTGGGCGATATGGCTGAAAACTATATCACAATATAAGTAATTCATATCGGTCGATAACGATATATATTGATTGTTTTTTTTTTTTTTTTTTTTTACGTAAATAAATACATTTGTCGTGTCGGCTAACACATGTTAGCAGCCTTGTTTACAGTCACGGGGGAATGAGGCTGGAGCCAAATGTTCACAAGCAGTCTCCCCCAGTTTAGTCCTGGTTTAATCCTCGTTTAGTCCTGGTTTAGCACCTGTTTTCGAGTGTCCTGTGTCCCTGTGGCGGCTCCGGAAAGTTAATCTCTTGTTTTTGCCGATTGCATCGAGTCTCTGCCTCTCCTGCGCCGCACATGCTGTTCCTCGCATGGACGTGTTTAACCATTGACACGGCACTGAGACACGATCTTTAGATCCAGGGCTATTATAATAGATCCATGATCCATGGACGCTACGCATGGTGCGGTTGTTTTTTTTCATTCCCAGAAAGTTTTGCGGTTTGTAGTTGGCTGTGATAGGTCGAGAAGTCTCTGCCTACATCCCCAAGAATGCTGCGCGCTTCCGACTCGGCTTTACTTCCTGTGTTTCGTTCCTGTTTTTTCGAACGGAGTGAAGTTAAACTATCGAAAGTTCTATCGACCCCGTTCTCTATTGATATCGAACACGTGTCTATCGCGATATATATCGTTTTATCGCCCAGCCCTAGTTTTTACATACTGACATATGTTCTAACCTTAGACTAGTTGATATGTACCTGTCTGGTCTTTGTGCTTCGTTTGCAAGACAGAGCGCACAGACAAACGCAGCCTCTTCCACAGACTGTATAGTACCAAATCAGCTCCCGTTAGAAGCTACCAAACTCTTCCACGTGTTCCCTATTTAAATACAGTTACGTGACGTGTTACACTACAAAGTATAGTAACACAGAAATGTAACATGTCGATTTTCTCAGCGGATAAAAAGGGGAACTATATTGTGAGGCGTAATAATACGAGGAGCACTACGCCCGCGCTCTAACTCTTCTCTCCCGCTCACTTCCGTCGATAGAAGCAGCGTGACTTGTCGGAGTTAGTGCGCGGACATAGCGCTCCTCGTATTATTAGGCCTCACAATATAGTACCCCTTGCTTCTGTCAGTGTGCCCCAAGGCAGCTGTGGCTACAGTAGTAGTTTATAACCACTGTGTATGGAGTGAATGACATGTATGTAATGACATGTAAAGCGTCTTTGAGTGTCTTTGAGTCTTTGAGTGTCCAAAAAAGCGCTATATAAAATTGATGCATTATTAAAGTGTTCCTGTTTACAACACTACACAGCAGGGTTGCCAGGTTGGGTCGTTTCCTGCATACTTTTTTTCCAAGCGACTTGTAGGTAATAAATAAATAGAAAGACAATAAAAAGAATCATGATAGCCCTAGTTCAGCCATTCCCAAACTCAGTAACACCGAGGCCCCCTTAAAAATCTGACGGGTCTGCGTGGCCCCCAAAATAATAACCAAGAAGACAACATTAAGAATAGGCTCTTCTGGTTATTTTATTTTGGGGAAATAGCCTCTGCTACAAACATTGTAATACAAAAATGATTACAGTGGATTATTCAAGTCAAATAATGAACACAAATATTTTAATATTACAAACAAAACATTATAAATTTAACATTCAATAATTATATTATTTTTTTATTTTTTTTATGACCTCCCGCGGCCCCCCTGCAGTACCCTCGCGGCCCACCAGGGGGCCGCGGACCCCACTTTGGGAGACACTGCCCTAGTTGATTACATTACATTTTTAGCCAAAAAATCATTCTGGGTGTTTTTTTTTTTGGCAGTCTCACGGGTTTTGGGAAATCTTGCCGGCATTTGGCAACCCATGGGAGTTGTGTGCTAAATTGTGAGCTTCGATGTAAGTGGTTGAAGGAACACGTCATTCAAGATAACAGACAAGTGGTTTATCCAATCACATACAAGGATTTTTTTTACAAGGCCCCGGCTTCTAAAATGTATCCGCTATGAAGCAGGCCCAGACCCTTGAGTGAAGCTCAGCGAACTACAAGGGACTGGCGAGAGTCAGGCTGATATTGTCGGTGTTTGTCGGAGAATCTCAAACATTTTTATGATTTTTCTTCCTCCGAACCGGTCGCATTAGACCCCCTCATGTGCCAACATTTGTGTAGGTCTTCAGGGTCAAAAATAATATCCTTTTGGCAGGATCGGAATAATAATATGAAACCAACAAATCACTTTATTCTAATTGTTACGGGCAACGACCTATTGTGCCAGTTGTGCACTAGATGGCGCTCCCGTTGCCCTTTGTGTTTGTGTGTGCGCCTTCGTGTTCTGTACAGGTGTCTGTGCGGGAGATCTATTGGAGGGACTTGAAGTGTGGGCGTGGCCGGTCTGACACCTGAGTGGCTGTAGTGGGACAAGAGCGTGGACGTCTTCCAACCCCGGGGATCCATCACTGAGGGCGTCCCCATAAAACCTCCCACTTGCCGTCAGCTCGGGGCAGCTGGACTTGTCCGTGCCAGTCTGCCGTCACTGCTCCTCCTGTATTGTTCTGTTCCCTTACGTTGTCACTTTGTAATTTTGAGCTCTAGTTTTGTATAGTGACCTTCGTTTTGTATTATCAATATTATTATTATTTCTGTATTCCTCCTTCGTTTCCCAATTCATTTTATTTTCTGTCATCATTAAAACCTTACTTTAAAATGGACAAATACCAATTCCATCTGGTTTTTTGCTACGTTCTCACTCCCTAGCTGAGCTGGACGTAACAAAATTGGGGGCTCGTCCGGGATCGGAAAATCCTTTTCCCATGTTCATTTAAAAGAAGTAGGTACCAAATTTTGGTAGATTTAATAAGTGAATTGTCGTGCGCAATATTCTCAGGTGTTCCCGTGCAAACTTTTAATATGGCTGACTTTGACAGATTTTTATCACATCCTACAGAGGAGGAGTTGAATAAATTTAAGAAAACTGAGTTAGTTGATATTGCAGACCTGTGCCAAATTGAAGTGGACAAAAACTTAAATAAAGCAGAGTTTAAACATATTGTTGCATCCTGGCTGGTGGAGCATGGCGGCATGCACGTTCCTAGGCTTGAGGTGGAGGTCGTTGCTGGTTATTCGGAGCGTCCCGAGGCAACCTCTCTGGTATTGGGCCCGGAAGTTTGTCCATCCACAGCACGCGTCCCTCCCAAAGCAGAGGAGAGGCTGACAACGTCATCTTCTCCACCCGGTGTGTCTGAGAGTAGAGGCCGGCCTGATCACCCGACCCGCTTCTCTTGGGACCACTCGCTGGGTAGCCCGTCCCGTTTCCCCCAGGTTCCTACGCGGCACAGAGTACCTGTGGAGCGCCTGGACGAGGAAGCGGAGGAAAGGGAGAGGGAGCGGCAAGCGACTATGGAACTTCAATACCGACTCAAGAAACTTGAGATCGAGGCCGAGACTGCGCTGAAAATGCGGCGGCTCGAGCTGGAGGCAGAAGGCCGTCTTCCTCTTAACCCTAGCCGGGTCGTTGCTGCTGTTGAGCCAGCCCACAGTCCAGTCCAACCTGTTGATGTGAGTAAATATGCTTCGCTTTTTCCTAACTTTCGTGAGTCTGAAATTGACAGTTATTTTTCTGCTTTTGAACGCATAGCCCAGGCTATAAATTGCCCTCCTGAGCTTTGGTCCACATTGCTCCAGTGAAAGTTAACTGGGAAAGCACAGGAAGTTTCTGCTGCTCTGTCTTTGGAGGAAAGCATGAGATATGAGTCTGTTAAAGTTGCTATTTTACGTTCGTATCAGCTGGTCCCTGAGGCCTACCGGCAGCGCTTCAGAGGCCTCCAGAAGGCCCCAAACCAGACCTATGTAGAGTTTGCCCGAGAGAAACACACTTTATTTGAGAAATGGTGCACTTCATCACAAGTTAATTCATTTTGTGATTTGCGTGAATTAATTTTGTTGGAGGAATTCAAAGATAATTTAGCGGAGAGAGTTGTTATGTATTTGAGTGAACAGAAAGTTACCACGTTACAGGAGGCCGCGGTGTTGGCTGATGAATTCGCCCTGACTCATAGGACCACATTTGGTACGGCGAATAACCGGTCCTTTGTCTCAGAGCCAATTCGTAGGTCTGCCAACACGCCACCCGTTCACAAAGAGCAACGAGAGTGTTTTTACTGTCACAAACCTGGACATGTCATCTCTAACTGTTTGGCTCTTAAGCGTAAATCCAATTATTCTGCCACGGACTCGTTTGCTCAGTCCCAAGATTGATTTTGTTTGGTCGCAGGAGTGTGACCATGCGTTCTCCAGTTTAAAGTTTTTGTTGTTCGCTCTTCAGCATTTTGAGGTGTATGTTGGGTCGAGTTCGTTGCCTGTGTTGGTTTTTACAGACCATAACCCTCTTGTCTTTTTGTCCCGCATGTTTAACCATAGTCAGCGGTTGATGAGGTGGGCTTTGATGGTGCCGGACTTTCACCTCGAAATCCGTCACAAGAAAGGAGTGGAAAATGTGTTGGCCGATGCCCTGTCCAGGTTTTGACAGTCCATCGCTATAGTACCCCCTGGTTATTACCGTAGTTCCAATTGGCTACTTGACCGTGTTTATTGAAAATGAGTAGTTTCGCTCTTAAGGGGGGGAGTGTTACGGGCAACGACCTATTGTGCCAGTTGTGCACTAGATGGCGCTCCCGTTGCCCTTTGTGTTTGTGTGTGCGCCTTCGTGTTCTGTACAGGTGTCTGTGCGGGAGATCTATTGGAGGGACTTGAAGTGTGGGCGTGGCCGGTCTGACACCTGAGTGGCTGTAGTGGGACAAGAGCGTGGACGTCTTCCAACCCCGGGGATCCATCACTGAGGGCGTCCCCATAAAACCTCCCACTTGCCGTCAGCTCGGGGCAGCTGGACTTGTCCGTGCCAGTCTGCCGTCACTGCTCCTCCTGTATTGTTCTGTTCCCTTACGTTGTCACTTTGTAATTTTGAGCTCTAGTTTTGTATAGTGACCTTCGTTTTGTATTATCAATATTATTATTATTTCTGTATTCCTCCTTCGTTTCCCAATTCATTTTATTTTCTGTCATCATTAAAACCTTACTTTAAAATGGACAAATACCAATTCCATCTGGTTTTTTGCTACGTTCTCACTCCCTAGCTGAGCTGGACGTAACACTAATCATTATTTGTGGGGGTTTTTCGCACAAAAATATGATCTTGGGAGTTTTTTGTTTGGCATTTCCTGTTCTAAAATGTAGAATAATTTCTCATCTGAATAGAATTGTGGGAATTTAAATGACATGCTGGATTTGTTGTCAAACACTTATACACCTGACAAAGATGTAACCCACTAATGTAATATTTTTATTTAATGCAGGGGTGCATTGTGCCAATAGCAATCTCCTGGTCAATCGCAAAGGCAGGGTGAGCAACGACAGCACCGTCAAAAGTTGAAAAACCGTGCTCCACTCGCTCCCCACACACATACAGAGGGAACAGTGCACCACACACGCCGAGAACACCGGTCTAGATTTCCATAGGATTAAAGAGGTGTTGGCATTTAATAAAGATAATCATTATATTTCTAAAAGGTTTTAAAAAGATACTCACGCTCTGAACTGTACTGGGTAGGTGGGGCAGCTGGTGCCGTCTCCACGACTTCCTCAGGTTTGGGCTCCTCTGCTGCGGTCCCATTTTGTTCCTGCTTTGCCTTCCGAACAAGGGCGGCAAGTGGGTGGTCTGGGTCCATCACTTGCAATGGCTGAAAAGATCATTCAAATGTACATAAAATGTTGGGTTCACATCAGCACAATGTAACTCATCCAAAACATTTCCTCAATAACATTGCTGTGACTTGGCATAATGTAACTGACAGATTCTTTTCAATATGTGACTGATATTGATTACAGAAATAATATTTTATTGTATTTTTATCTCTGTGCACCGCCCAAGAGACCCACCCACTTCCTGGTTTGTGTCTTAATGAAAGCATCAGCCTGTTTCAACCGTTTTTAACAACAGGGCCACTGTTTCACATCCACTGTCTCCGAGACCTCCATAAGATCACAGTTCAGTGGCTTATTCACACTATAATCAGCCTTATGGAGCAAAAAAAAGAAATCAGAACAGAAAGACAAAAACGTGGAAGTGGGGCAAAGGACTATTATCTTGCCCTGCGCAGCAGACGCGGAGGTGGGTACTCGGAGTGGATGCCTGCTGCAAAAGCAGGAGATAAACATTGTTGAACTTTTTCTGCCAGCCACACGTGCGCCAACCAATCAGAGAGCCACAAAGTGGTCACGGGGACACTTGCAGTCAGAGTGAAAAGACGGACGATACTCCTGAACAGCCAAAAAAAGGGCTGAACCAGGACTGACAATGGGGACACAGTGCTTGTGAACATATGCCTCCAGCCTGAGTTCTCATTCTCCCATGACTGTAAACAAGTGCTGCTAACGTGTTTGCCAATGCAGCTTTGTGAACACATACTGCTGTTATATAAAGTCTCTGGAAGTTTTCTGAACACAGATATGCTGTAGAGCCGCTAATTTAACCCCGTTAGCAGCGGCTCAAATTCTGTGAATTTCGAATCCAGTGCGCGTGGAAGCTGCATTCAAGGGTCGGCGGTCGGAACACCCCATAAGGTAGCAAACAGGGCTAACTACTATCAAGGGTATTGACCCCATGCATGTGACATCCCGGCCACGCCCACTCTCCATGACAGACGGCGGAAGTCTCGTTGTATACCCAGGACTGCTGTTTACTCAACTGCAAGCCCCCGGAAACCAAAACAACCCTTTAAGCCGACATAAGCCAAATGTATCATTTTATCTGATACGTGCAAGTGATGACAGAGAGAAGACGATAATGGCTACCGGCAATCAACCGAAAGGACTGGGAGCCATCCAAGTACTCCCGAAATTTGCAGTGTACACTTTTTATAAGATGAATCAATCACAATTTTGTATTTATTTTCTTTCCAATAATTCATTCATTTGAAGGCATTCCACCGTGTTTCCCAGGGTGTCCTTTGGGGGGGTTCTCCGGGAGTACGGCCCCTGTATGACCCGAGTCAGAGCTGCGTTCGCATCGCCGGCAGTAAGTCAGACCTGTTCCCGGTGCAGGTTGGCCTCAAGGCTACCCTTTGTCACTGGTTCTGTTCACTGTCTTTATGGACAGAATTTCTAGGCGTAGCCAGGGGCCGGAGGGGGTTTGGTTCGGAGACCACAGGGTTACATCTCTGCTGTTTGCGGACGATGTTGTCCTGTTGGCTCCAACAAACCAGGACCTGCAGCATGCACTGGGACGGTTTGCAGCCGAGTGTGAAGCGGCTGGGATAACAAACAGCACCTCCAAATTTGATGCCATGGTGCTCGACTGGAAAAAGGTGTCTTGCCCTCTCCAGGTGGGTGGAGAAGTATCTCGGGGTCTTGTTCACGAGTGAGGGTGCAGCATGCGCAGTGATGCAGTTGCTGTATCGGACCGTTGTGGTGAAGGGGGAGCTGAGCCGCTGCTCCTCCACGTCAAGAGGACTATGTCTCTCAGTTGGCCTGGGAACCCCACCGACGAGCTGGAGGAAGTGTGTGTGGATAGGGAAGTCTGGGCGTCTCTGCTAAAAGTGCCCCCGCGACCAGGCAACGAATGAAGCGGAAGAAAACAGATTGATGGATGGATAATTCAAGGACAATGACACAATGAACGCATGAAGTCAAACGTTTCAAACTCATTCTCTTCTATAAACTTTCATAGATGTCAGTTCAGTTGCGTGCTTCACTTTTTTCTTCTTTGTGAATGTGTCTCATGTTTGGCTGGAGACAGAAAAGTCAGAGAAAAGTTGACTATTGCTAATGCTACCAGCAAAATTTACATTTAAATCTGCTCCAGTGTAAGGGGATGCATTGTTAAAGACATGATGATAAAGATCATGCGGTGTGAATTTGGGCAAAGTTGGATATTTCATTTAATCAATCAAATTGACTGGGGGGAGAAGGTCTGGGTCAAAATCCAGTTCGGCGATCAATAACTTCTCCAAATCCCGCTCTTTGTGAGCCCTGACAAGATGTCTTATGGGACTTTCAGACCGTCAACGCTGAAACGCTGAAGCCCCGCTCACCAGACGCGCATTCTCTAGTTTTCAGACGCAGAGGACTTCACACCAGAACGTCCTGACGCGAGCCGGAAGTACCGGAAGTAGTCGGCCGGCTCTAATGCTAACAGAGCTATGCTAGCGGCTTCTTGTGTAAAGATCTTCTCCAATATGCAGCTTTGCAGCGTGTCTTTGCTCACAGACATTCCACGGGCTTTATATAACAGTAGTATGTGTTCACGGAGGTGCGCCATACGTTTTTTCATATTATTAAACGGAATTTCCGCATCGGCGAACACACTCGAAGCCGTTGCATAAGGTCACGGGAGCATGACAACGCATATTTTAACAAGCACATTGTCAACCCTGGTTTGAGTTCTGGTGAAGTCTGGTGTGGGTCCTGTTTTGGCTGTTTATGAGTATTTTCAGTCTGCTCGCTCAGTCCGCTAATGTCCCCGTGACCACTTTGCTGCTCTCTGATTGGTTGTCGCAAGAACGTCCCAAGGAAAGGATGAGCTGAATCCATCTCCTGTGGGCGTTGATTTTTTGCTCCTGCTCCTCCTTTTTCACTTTCCCGCCAAGTCCGTGCATCATTATTGAACAGTCTGTTCGCGCGTGCAGAGAGGTCCGTGCGTTGTGACGAACGCGCGCCACCATAGACTTTGCATTGGTCTGAAAGCACCACTACTTCCACCGATAACTTCCACCGATAACATTATTGAACATGTGATTGAAGCAGCCACTTCTCAATTTAGGAGAGGAGTCTCAGTTTTTTAGAGTTGTAGTCCGTTTTGCTCACGCTGCATCGCTAGAATTCCGCTGTAACCTCATGCACAATCACTTGACTGGATGACGTCGATACATCTGGTCAAAACTTTCTCCCATTGTCCAGGGCAATCATAAATGGTAATGTGCAGACGCCGACATCACAAATATATTCAAAATGGTCTCTTCTCGAAACACACTGTGTGGACTGGTCTGAGCGCTATGTGATTCTTATTTGTCAATTAGTCAAACTCTTAACATTAAGGAAGAATAACTTACTGTATCCACCTGCAGTGAGTTCTGCAGGTGGAGTACTTTTCCTACTTGACTCCAAATGTAATTACTTTGAAATGGGAGAGGCCGTAACGATTTACCACTTGACCTTAGTAATGAAGCTATGGAAGTCCTTTACCTTGATGAGCTCCTGCAGACGAGAAGGCTCTCTCTTGGGGGCAAATAGGCTGGGATGAAGGTAACTACCATCACCATCATCATCAGAGTCCTCTGAATTGGAATCTGCAGAAATAAAGACATTCTACTTTAAAAAAAACTCTTCCCACATGTTTTGTTTTATAAATAAGCGTCATGATTATGGAAGAGTTAATAGTTTTTTGTTCTACTTTTTGGTCTCACCTTCTGGTTGGTCGGACTGTTTAGCGGAGGGGAGGTTATATCGACCTTCCTTCATGGCCCGCAGGATGTGCTTGTAATAGGGGTTGAGGTAATGGTCAAAGCGGAGGAAGTCAAACTGGGAGTTATTGGCCTGCTTGGCTTTCAGCACGATTTCAAACTGTGCGCCCTGCTGACACACAAAGTTTGCCGTCCTCTCAATGATGGCGTGGGTCTTGACAGTTGCAGGCTTAAGGGAAAAAAAATTAAATAAGCACATTAAAAGCCATCAAGCCAAAGTTCATTATAAAGTTAAACCATAGAAAATTTGCCCAGATTTTTGGGAATTTTAAGGCTACTATTCTCCACTTTTCCGATTGAAGATTTGCCACGTGCTTTCTCATGTTTGTTGAAGGGAAGTTGTTGCTTTGCCTGGGTTACTAGATGGCATAAAAATTATGATTCCAGGATTTAGCATTGATCCGATGCCAAGATGTAATGATTCTTCTTGCTTATTACCACTTAAAAATATGATTCTACAAATAATAGGGTTGTATACTTTATGCAACGCTGTATTTCAGGATACATTTTACTCAAAAGAGACATGACATGGTTATATTACCTTGAAAAAGGATTTGGAACCCATGTACTTTTTAATTTGTTTCATGTTGCGCCACTAATAAAAGATATTTGATTACATTTTTGTGAAAGACCAACAAAAAGTGGCAGTCAACTGTAAAGTGACTGCAAAATAATAAGCTCCTTCAGTTAAACGTAAATTTACAACGTTAACGCAGACCCATTCAAACTGCCATTAGCTTTTTTATTTGCAACAATTACTAACCTTGGAAAACTAAAACGTGATATGTTTTGCATAGTCCAGGCTTCTGCAACGGACACGTATCTGAAATCATCCCTTTTCTGCATCAAAAAGACGCGTGTGATGTGCAGGGGACGTAAGGCCCAGCAGACGTTGGAGAAAACAAAAGCAGTAGTGCTCACTGGTTACTACTGGACGCCCAAAGTAATAAAAACTATCCAGGTTTAGCCAAAATCAAGGGACATTTGGAATAGATACAAATATGCAATTAATTGAGAGTTGTATCATTTGTTATCATTTAACCTTCAGAAATGTTTTGAAGGAAACTGGTTGCATTCAAGGAAATGGGGCAGAATACTTTGGCAAACCAATTGTTTTTTTAGATAATTTTAACGGCTTCAGTGATGTTCAGTGATTAATCATTGTCATTATCGGGGAGAAGAGACAAGAACAGTAATATATATAAGGGAACGCAGTTCTCAAGATTATAGTCAAACTAAATGCTACCTTTCAAGTGACACACAGAGACAGCTAGTGTCCTAAAAGAAATGACTGTGCTTCAGTCCACCAAGGACTTTAAAATATCACGCGGCACTGTTAAGCCTGATTCAAACCCTCTGAATGGGCAATTCTTAAAGCTGAAGATTTGATTTTCGATTCAATTTCATTATTGTTTTTTTCTCTCTCCGATTTAAGTATAAAGACCATTACATAGAAAAAAAACTAAATCTGTGTATACTCCCTGCCTGCCCCGGCCGCACTTTTCTGAACAAACATGCCTCAATTTCAGATGAGATGCAAAATAATTTGCATACAAAGAGGTGAGTAGAAAGTCTAGGTGGCTTCCAATAGAGACGTGAGATAGATACTTTATTGATCCCCCATAGGAGAAATTCTGGTGTCAAGCAACAGAAAAAAATTAAAATAACATTTATCGTTCTAAAAAGCTAACAATAGTAATAATAAGCGGGTCACAAAGTGGAGTAGCCGCTTGGTTCAGACCATTTCCTCTGCTCTAGTCCAAAGTAAAAAGCTAAACACTTAATTAGCTTCTTTTTTATTTTATTTATCCTTCAGTGGATTATTGCCTGATCTGCTTGGTTCAGACCATGAATCCTTTCTGATCCAGTCAGGACTAGGGGTGTGACGATATATTGATTTTTCGATATATCGCGAGACTTTCTCCCGCAATTCGATTATCAATATGCATTTGCCAAGTATCGATATCGATTTTGAAATAAAGAAAAAAATACTTAATATTTGGCAACATTACGCATCTCCATTCCATTTATCATGAAATAAAGTGTATTTTTTCTTTTATATATGCCATAAATTGGCATATTGTATAATTCTGACCAATATATCGATAGTCATCATATTGTGATAATATCGTTATCGTGAGCTTTGTATCGTGTATCGTATCGTAAGGTATCCTAAGGTTCCCACCCCTAGTCAGGACCAGAGCAAAACCATCAACACTGTACTGCGGCGACATCTCAGGTAGAAAAAAAAGCAAGAAAAAGAAATTGTAAAGCACAAAATTGTTTCAGAGCTACTAAGGATATGCTACAATTTCCAGCGCATTTAAAAAGAGTATGCAGGGTTTGCAAGGTGTGGGTCAACAGCCTCCATAAAACAGCACAAGCCTTGAGGTTGTGACATAGCTTCACTTGCACGCCTGTTTCAAAAGACCTGTGTCTACTGTTTTAGCAGAAAGTGGCTATAACTCCTCTGGGTGTTAATGCACACAGTAAAACAGCCCAAACGACGCAAAAGTGAGGAGAAGAGGGAACTAAAGCGAAAAAATGATCTAAGAAGAAATCAAGCCCGTGTGAACATAGCTAGCTTACATCGTATCCTCGCCGGAGACCGGCAGAAGCTGGACAGCCTCGGACTACATTTGGAGGCGAAACTAGCAGTAATCTTTTCGTTATATACTTTGTTAGCAGTGCGTTGCTTTTGTACAACTTAATCAGTGATTGTTGTACAGCTTACAAGAAGTTGCGCTAATGCTAATGTTAGCATAAGCATCAGATCACAAATAAAACTAGATGGCTTCGTGGGAGGAGAGCGTAGGGGAAATGAGAAGCCTGTTAGCGAGTTGGGGGCGGTGCTAAACATTCAAACTGAAAAAAACCTTGCAGAAACGGGTAAAGCTCCTTTACGCCACCTGCCACAACATTAGTGATTCTAGCATTAGTCTGGCAAAGTGATTACAAAATACATTAAAGGAAACTGAGCAGTGTGTAATAAGATCAGGGCTTGTTTCTGTTTAGCCTGCTGAAGAAACTGGACATTTAGCAGCGCAACACAATTTCTCACTCACTAGTTCCACGTCAGGAGGGATGTCCAGTCCTGGGGGTGCAACAAATGGTTCTTCACCCTCTTCTGCCTCAGCTTCTTCTATGGAAAAAACACACAATAAAAGAAAGACAATAACCAAACTATTGTTAGAGAATGGAGATTGTTAAGTTAACAATAGTTCAATGTCTCATTTTTCTGTGTTACAATGACAATGTAGAGCAAAAATAATTATAGCCTCTAACTGTGAATAAAATAAATCACAAGTCAGAAGAAGGGCTCCGTCCCAAAGCATGGGACCATTTTTTCTGTCCCTCACCCAGCAGCGAGTTGAGAGGCTCAATTTTCTTCAACCCAATATAATAACAAATAACTAAAATAAACGTAATTGGTCTTTCCAAACCGTGAATTGGTTTCTTGTGAATTAATTAAATGGGCTAAGGTGTGTTGCATTTTAATTTTACACGGCATAAAATAAATTGGGTTTCAATTAGCCTCTTGGCATTTCTTGAATCCATTCAGCAGTAGAAGAAAACATAATTGTATAATTTATCTTTCTTTGTACATGCACAAGAGATCAGCATTAGTATGAGCACATACACACCATCAGTCTCTAGGCATGTTTTATTGTACAAACGTAAGGAACTCACTAAACTGACTAAATAGAAACATCTATTAATTAGGGGGGGTTAATCTGTCGATTCCCATTTTTTTACCAACAGATTTTCGATTACAAACAATTCTCAATTCTTGATGCACGATTATTGTAAATGTTACATTTGACGACAGTCCCCCAAAATACACAAAGTTATTATTTTATTTATTAAATATATTTATTTCAAATAAATGTACTCCATTTAAAAAAAAAAAAATTTAATGACTTAACTTCTATTAATACAAAGCACTTTGTGTTGAAGTTTTGAAATTGTAACTTCAAAATCATTGGTTTTAACTTGAAATAAAATGTCCACATCTGCTCATTAATGTCCACATTTGGAGTTATTTTCCTGTAGAACAAAAATGCAGAAGACTGAAGACAGTCGACAACAGCCAAAAAAAGACCTGAACCAAGACTAAACCAGGACTAAACCAGAATTAAACCACCATGCACCACTCACTAAGGCTGGCGGCTGCGTGCACTAGCGTTGACCACAGAATATCAATGTTTCAAAATAATATAATGCAAAAAATAATGAATTATTGACAATGTTAAAAACCATCCATACTTGTCCATAACAATCACGATTGATCAATAATCGACTTTTTTCACCACCCACTTGGCTTAGCACTACCAAATACAATATGATTTGAACATAAATAAAATGAAAAAAGAACCAGAACTAATGTTGAAACTGGCTGCAGGACCCCAGAGGACCATGAAGAGAAAGTGCATTTTGTTGAAAAATCTATCAATACATCTATAATTGGGAGACTCTTCTTTTTGTGAACATATTACTTCTTATAAGAAATAAGTAACCTGCACGGTAAAGCATGCATCGATCTGGTACCCACACCAGAAAGAGAGGTAATAGCGCTCAACCTTAGTAATGTACGTTTTGGGGCATTGCTGAACATACCCGCTGCCCTGTTGGCATCTTCCTCCTCTGTGGGCTGGGAGGGGTCATAGTAGTCAGCGCTGTATTTGAAGCCCACCGAATTGTAGGTTCCTTCATCTGCCAATGCTTCGCTCAGGCGCTTATACTCCTCCTCTGCAAACAAATAATCTAATTATTAACTAAAACAAACAGTTTAAACACACAAATAGAAGTTAAATAGCAATTTAAAGAAAGCTTTAGAACACCCAATCAATAGATGGATATTGACTGGATGGTTTGGTGGAATAGTTTAACATGAAAACATTCAAACTCTTTCTGGACTAATAGGGGCAACCTGTAAATAAACCTGATCAGGAACATTTCAAAAGAACGAACTTTTTTCCCCACAGGGACGAACTTGAAAATAAGCTGCAGGTTTTCATGTTGTAATATACAGTGCCTTGCGAAAGTATTCGGCCCCCTTGAACCTTTCAACATTTCGCCACATTTCAGGCTTCAAACATAAAGACATCAAAATTAAATTTTTTGTCAAGAATCAACAACAAGTGGGACACAATCGTGAAGTGGAACGAAATTTATTGGATAATTTAAACTTTTTTAACAAATAAAAAAACTGAAAAGTGGGGCGTGCAATATTATTCGGCCCCTTGCGCTAATACTTTGTAGCGCCACCTTTTGCTGCAATTACAGCTGCAAGTCGCTTGGGGTATGTCTCTATCAGTTTTGCACATCGAGAGACTGGAATTCTTTCCCATTCTTCCTTGCAAAACAGCTGGAGCTCAGTGAGGTTGGATGGAGAGTGTTTGTGAACAGCAGTCTTCAGCTCTTTCCACAGATTCTTGATTGGATTCAGGTCTGGACTTTGACTTGGCCATTCTAACACCTGGATACGTCTATTTGTGAACCATTCCATTGTAGATTTGGCTTTATGTTTTGGATCATTGTCCTGTTGGAAGATAAATCCAACAGGACAACAGGATAATATCTCGGACCTGCCTGGTGTGTTCCTTTGTCTTCATGGTTCTCTCTGCGCTTTAAACAGAACCTTGAGACTATCAAAGAGCAGGTGCATTTATACGGAGACTTGATTACACACAGGTGCATTCTATTTATCATCATCAGTCATTTAGGACAACATTGGATCATTCAAAGATCCTCACTGAACTTCTGGACTGAGTTTGCTGCACTGAAAGTAAAAGGGGCCGAATAATATTGCACGCCCCACTTTTCAGTTTTTTATTTGTTAAAAAAGTTTAAATTATCCAATAAATTTTGTTCCACTTCACGATTGTGTCCCACTTGTTGTTGATTCATGACAAAAAATATTTTTTTTATATCTTTATGTTTGAAGCCTGAAATGTGGCAAAATGTAGAACAGTTCAAGGGGGGGCGAATACTTTACAGTGGGGCAATAAAAAGTATTTAGTCAGCCACCAATTGTGCAAGTTTTACCACTTTGGGGAGGGGGGCCTGTAATTTTCATCATAGGTATGTCTCAACTATAGTCACATTTCCACCGCAGGAGTACCTTAAAAGGAGGGGGCAGGACAGCTACAGCAACCATCCTCTCACTTGGCCATCTCAGTGGCCATGTCTCCACTGCAGAGTAGGACCCCTCTGCGAAATTATGAGTTTTGATCGCAGCGTAATCAATAATTATTTATTTTACAGACGGAACCGCTCCAGTTGTTGTGGTCTGTCGGCATTGTGTGGGTGCACTGATATGTCTTATATTTTTTCATTTCGCCGCAATGCCTCAATCCCCATCTGAATTTCTTCTGTGCTGTAGAAGGCAATTGGCTGCACCTCATCATCCGTCCATTTATCATGTATCTTGCTGTTGTTTTTTGCCGTTTCCAGTTGTGTCTGCTAGGCTAATGCTGCTAGATAATGAAAATGCCGGTTGTTGCTTTCTGCTGGCGTCAGGGCCTGCTCGAGCTCTAACCAATCAGCGCCAGGTTAACCTCAAGCCCCAACCAGGAGCTGTTCAGGGCCGAACGGAGTACCTAGCCTGGAGGAGGTACTAAGTTGGTTCCCGTAAAAGCTCCTGTAAATGTCCCTGTGGGGGCTGGCCCTTGTAAAATTGCCCCATTCATTGTTTCCTTTACACAGAAAATAGCCCCAAAACATGTTTCCAGCCCCATGCTTCACAGTAGGTATGGTGTTCTTTAGATGCATTTCAGCCTTCTTTTTTATCCAAAACACAACATGGAGTTTTTACTAAAAAGTTTTATTTTTGTTTCATCCGATATGACATTCTCCCAATCCTCTTCTGAATCATCCAAATGCTCTCTAGCAAACTTCATACTGGCTTACGCCGCGTTCAGACCGGATCATGCTTTGCATTGTGACTTTCAATGCAAAGTAAATGGAGACGTACGTTTGAGCGTGAAACTACATGCGCGTCTCGGCACGCACACACGGACTGCACGGTAGAGGCGCAGGACCGGAAAATTGCAGGAGATAAAAATTGCTGACCTTATTCCTTGGGACACACGTGCAGCGACCAATCAGAGAGCCGCAAAGTGGTCACGGGGACATGAGCAGACTGAAAATACTCGTAAATAGCCAAAACAGGAGCTGAACCAGGACTAAACAACCATTGACACTGGGGGACTTTGTGCTTGTGAACATATGCCTCCAGCCTGAGCTGTCATTCTCCAGCGACTTTAAACTAGTGCAGCTAGCATGTTCGCTGATGCGGAAGTACCGTCTAATAGTAAAATAAACCTCCGTGAACACATACTACTGTTATATAAAGTCACTGGGAGGTCTCTGGACACAGAGACGCTGCAGATCTACTTCACACAAAAAGCCGCTAGCTTAACTTTGTTAGCATCATAGCACTATCGCTACTTCCGCCAGGCGCCACTGCAGGCCAGGACTTCTGGTCTGAACACCCCTAGCGTCTAAAATTTACAGAATGTGCATCCAGTGCGCGTAGAAACTGGGTTCCAGCGCCGGCGGTCTGAACGCCCCATTAAGCAGGGGGACACGTCTGGCACTGCAGGATTTGAGTCCCTGGCGGGGTAGTGTGTTACTGATGGTATCTTTTGCTACTTAGGTCCCAGCTCTCTGCAGGTCAGTCACTAGGTCCCCCCCGTGTGGTTCTGGGATTTTGCTCATTGTTCTTGTGATCATTTTGATCACGGGGTGAGATCTCCCCATTGGGAGTGTCTGCTAGGCTAATGCTGCAAAGCTAATGCTGCTGGACTTTAAAGGGGGTTGTTTTGGTGCCTTCTGCTGGCGTCAGAGCCAAAGTTCTTGTAAATGGCCCTGTGGGAGAAGTTCCAGCAGTGGAAACACACACCGACGGGGCTGGCCCTGGAAAATTACCCTGAAGTTCCTGCGGTTGAAACGCGGCTATAGCAGTGGAGACACGGTTTGTTATTGATAGTGAACCCAGAAATGCATCTTCATAGAAAATGTTCAACAAACATTTGAGTCAGAAATGTCCACATTATTAAGTGGGTGAAATTGAATTGGAAATATTGTAAGATTCTTTCTATAATTCATGATACTTTTCTACATCAGGTGAGAAGCCAAGCATGTATTTGTGCTTAATGAGGGGCATAACGTAGGGGCCTTCACATCACCTGATTAGTTAAAAAATAACAATGTGATTGGTCTATTTGATTAATAAATTTGAAGAGTCAAGGAAAATGTACATTATTCCGTGATTGGCCTATCATTGCAATCTTTTATTATTTGGGTGGATGAGAACTCACTCCTGAGTAACTTTAATTCAGAGAAATGACTGCACACCTTGTCTAGCCTCCTCTTCTAGCAGGTCCGCGTGAAGGGCCAGGTACCGCTCCTCATCACATAACGCTTCAATCCTGGCCTCTTCCTCGGACAGCTGATAAGAGGTGTTCCATGACCCGCTGTCATACTCTGAGAGGTCGTGTAAATGACCACGGCCATCATATCTGTGTAAAAAAAAACACAAATTAGAAGAGAGCAGTGGCCTTAACAATAAACAATAACCGGATTAATCCTAGTACTATAATGGATTAAAGGAAACTTTGCATTCAATGGGAATTGTGTTAAGTTTTTAAATAGAGATGTTTTACCTCCTTGTCTAAACATCTGGTTCTACAACAGACAAGTTAATTAACCTGGAAAGCTTTAACGGTGTGCTACTTCATCAATCACAGTAATGCCAATTGTTTTGAAGAAAATATACAAACCATGGCCTTATTTAAAGAAAAACAAAGCATCACGCCTCTTACCTTATAGGGTTTAATCCCCCCTGTAACACTCAATACTTCTACATCTGTAAATAAAGTTACATTAACACAAACCCGAGTACATAAATACCTATCCGAAAGAACCCAAATGGCCGACATTTTCCTGCGCTCGCTCCTTTATGGCATCTCTGTGTTGGAGTTTCTTCATGAAGACAAAGATATGGAGGGCTGTAGTTGGCATTCAGGGTTGGGTGGACCCCTTTACCAACCTTGCTGGGGAAAAGACTGTTTTATGTGATGGAGACACACATACATAAACTCCACAAAAACATCACAATCTCAGCCGTAAGAAATAATTTCTACAATCCCATTTGGATTTACATCAATTATTTTATTCTTTCATTCAGTGAATATTTCCAGCTACAATTGTTTTTTTAGCCTCAGACTCTGAAAGAAACTTGTTTAACGAAAACAAAGTTCTTTATATTCTGAAACACTGAAGTTGTGTGCCATAAAACACTATCAACATACAAATATGCAAATATGCAAATCATAGAAAGCTATGATACCCCTGAAAGAATATTCTTTCTGACAATTTACATTAATCAATCAATGAATATGACAGGTTAGCTGAGAGAATAAAAGCTTGACTATTTGCATATTTGTATGTTATACTGAAAGGTTTTCATTCCAAGCGTCTGCAAGAAAAACGTGAAGGTGCTGTGTCCCTTGTACAGGCTAACGTAGAGAAAAAAGGTTAGCATTATCTTTCAGTCTAAGTTTGTTCAACCGACCTATCAATCATGATGCTCTTGTCCCCCATCCATGGGATAAGATGTTTTCCTTGGTCGTGGTACAGAGCCCTTTCATCGTCCCGAAAGAGTTTGCAAGCATAGCCAAAGACCAAGAGGTCGGCGTATTTGTCGCTGTCGCTAACATCCTTCTTCAGAGGCTTGTCGGTCTTCCCCGTTCCCCGCCGATACATATCCACATTCAGGAAAAAGCACCCAGTTCACCGTAAAGCGATATCAAATTATAAAATTACGTTGGCTGGTGGTATTTCCAGAAAAACACATAAAACACACGAGTGTGCTTAACTCAAAAACAAAACACTACTCGTCGTCCGCGGCCATGTTGGAAACACGCTAAAAGAAGTTTACGTTTGAGCAAGCACTTTCGACAATAAGGACCTGCTAAAATAACGGAGCATTTGTAGCCTGTTTCACATTTGTGAAATTTATGACAAATATTTATACATACTATTTAATAAATGTTGATAAAATATGAAGTATAATGTAATATTTCCCAGCTACGCTAGTTTTTTACAGAGAAAGAATATTTATCGAATCTGCGGGAACTTTTGAGATGCATGTATATACCTATTTTAGAGTGACGATTGAGCTAACCAGTTATTATAATAGATCCATGGTTTATCCCATGGATCTGTTATCCAAATATGATTCTATTGTGATTTATGTATTTACAGTCCAAGATTATTCAGAACCCGGAACACTGTGTATACTATAATTTCATAATTAGTCTTAATAATTTGTATGAAAGAAAGGCATTGATTGGCCTACATGTGTATGCCTTTAGCGGAGTTTATCTGTGCTATACGCATACGTCTATCTACAGCATACAAAAAATAATAATAATCAAAACATTAATTTGTTGTTTTTACAACAAAATACCGATATAGTTTTTCAAACGTGGATGTATACATTTTGAAAAATTCAAATATCAAGAGTTTGAAGAGGCAACAGAGAAAAACGTGAACCAACCCAACTCCTATCCGATAGATAGATCCAGATCAACCCCAAATAACTTTTTGATCTTTTATGTAAAGTATTTTTGAATTCTAACATATGTATACTAAGTAAGGCAGGACCTGGTTAGTGCTGTGATGGGAGACCTCCGGAAACACCTGGTGACACAGATCAGAATCAGAACTATTGTTATTTCAAGACTGTTCTTATGGTGGAAATTGTTGATATTGTTTTATAGCCTGTCTTCGAGCGTAGGTGACACACAGGTTCTGCAGTGATGGAAGGCTGCCGCAGAGCGTTCCAGAGCTATCTGAGACATTCGCCGCCCGCACTGCTTCCTGATCCACCTGCAGGTGGAGCTGGGAGATTTTGTCCTGGAGCAGTGTTGAAGGCAGAGCTGAAGTCTACAAGCAGGACCCTGGGGAGTCCATATGCTGCAGAATGAAGTGGAGGGCAGATCTGTTGGCCCCCCCCCCCCACCAGTGTCTACCCCAGTGTCTTGCTCTCTGGTACTCTTCCTCTTCCCCCTTCTGATTTTATATCCAAGGCACAGGCGTTTTAATTGTTTGCTGTCACTTGGGAAGCCGGGGTGCTTTGGGTGGTGTAATTCAATGAATAAAAAACACACATGCACAAAAGTATAAAAACACATAAAACCTTATCTTAAACCCATCACCCCTTTTTCACCAATAGACATTGTCCTTTCTGTCTTGCTTTAGTAAGAAACAATGATGAGACGACCATGCTTAGGGCTTACTCAGTAACATTGGAGTTACTGAAAAAGATAATGAAACATTATTTTTTAAGATGAATTTTCTCTAAAACATGAATTATGTAATTAACTGTAACTTTATGTACACATCGACATCACCTTATGCATATAATTAACTTTACTCAATTAGATGAACTGTTTACAACCTTCTTGACGAATGCTGTTTGTGTAATCCAGCTTTGTGATATAGGGCAGTGGCTCTAACAGTAGCTCCAAGAATCCTCAAATTCTGCTGCTTTGATGTGGCTGAATGCTTCCCCGAGAGGATTAAACTGTCATATTAGATAGATTTGCCTTTTCCAGAATAATATAAATGTTCCCTTTCTTGACAGCAGAGAGATTCATAACCTTCTCTGTAAAGAACCTGCGTGACAGTAAGAATAAGAAATGGAAATAAATCTCTTGCAAGAAAGTGAAATTAGGGCAACTAGAAAAATAATTCTGATGACATTTTTTTGGCTGCATCCTTTGCATATCTCAATTATCTGACGCATATCGGAGTCTGGCTTCATGCCTGAGCTCCCACCTCTCTTTGGTTCTGATTTCTTTGTGTTATCGTGACCCAAGACTGCTAATTCTTTCAACGAAGACCTCTCAGAGGTTGTCAATCTGCTGCATTTTTAGTTTTGGCAAGAATATTTCTCATCTCACGTTCATGTTTAACTCTTCTATAACTTTTTTTCTGTATAAATTTTTATTTTTGTGTGGACAATGACATTATACATTACGTTTTATTTTAAAGATAAATCCCTGTTAAATCCTTGGAGTGTTCCCGTGGATTTTACACTGCTCCGCCATTTTTTGGTCACACTTTTTCTGGTCGCCCTTTTTTCTCCGTTCAGTTTTCATTCGAAAAGTATCATACCAAGTATCATTAGCGCACAAATACCCTACACCAGCAACCTAGCTACTAAGGCATAATTCCTGTCCCTGCAGTTCACTGGTTTATATGTATAAAATAAAATAAAATAAAACAATACAATAAGAATACAATACGATAAAATAACAATACATACGATAACAATACAATACAGTAACATTACATCTATACAATAGCCCCAAGGAAGGTTTCTCACCCAGCAGCCTGTACATCTTAGCAAGTTTTCCCCCCCGACGTTTCGTCCTCAACCTGGGGACTTCTTCAGGGAATGAATTCTCGTACGACCGCGCGTTGGAGATTTATAACCTATGGGTAGTGGTAAGCCACACCCTAATCCTGATACTAACTCGTAAACAATCTCAGGTCTGCTTGATGTAGAAGGGGAGCAGGTCTAACGACCCTGCTGAGCTAACGACCCTATCCTCCTTAGCATGTCACAGACCTATTGTCTGCTGGATGCTCAAGTGGAGTGCAGGTCTCACCCCTCCTAACTCATTAGCATGTCACTGACCTTGTCCCAAGTTAGGGCGTTGTTTTTAGGATGTCGTCATAGATGCGAGGCAAAACAAATCTTGAACCCTCCTCCTCTGTTAAGAGAAGGTTTTTGTTTCCTCACAAAAATGGCTTCTTTCACCTCCTCTCTCAAACCAATTCTTCTCCCTAGGAGCCAGGAATTTTAACCTCTGGTGTCATCCACCGTGTGGTTGGAGGCCTTGAGGTGGAGATGAACAGCCGACTGTGGCCCACTAGAGTTTTCTCTACGATGTTGGTAAAGTCGTTTCTGTAGAGTTTGTTTGGTTTCTCCAATATAGTGGTCAGTGCACTCCTCTTCACTACATTTAATTGAATACAACCACATTGCTCTGTTTGTGTCTGGGTGTTTTTGTCTTTGGGATGCAACTAATTTCTGTCTTAACGTGTTGAAAGGGTTTTGAAATACACAGGGATTTTGTGTTGCCTAAAGATTCTTTGTAGTTTCTCTGAAACTCCCGCCACATACGGTAAGGACACCCCTCTCCTCCTACTTTCTTCTGTCTGTTGGAACTGTGTCTCTGGCCTTTCTCGTCCTTTGGGCTTTAGTAAAAGACCACTTGGGGTAGCCACATCTGGAAAGTGCTCTCTGAACATGTTTGGTTTCTCTGTTCTTTCCCTCCGAGCTAAGTGGGGACCTGGTGGGCTCGGTGTTGAAGCGTTCTAATGACCCGAGTTTGTGTTGTAGCGGATGATTTGAATGCCAGGTACTGGTCAGTGTGAGTGGACTTTCTGAAGACCTCAGTCTCTAATTGTCCCGTCTCTCCAGTAGGATGACCTGTACAAGCCTAGAAGGCCAGTTCACTTTCCTTAGCAAGCCTCGCGATGAAATTTATAAAAGGGTCAACCGAATTAATGTGTTCTGAAAATGGTTTCCACTTCCTGCATCATTAACTTAACGCCATGTAATCGTCTACATATCGAAACCGAATGGGCGCTTGGCGCTGCCCCCTTTGTAAGAGACCAGGGCGTTTTTCCTCCAGTTTCTCCATATACAGGAGATTGGCCACGATAGGAGAGCCTGGAGAACCCATACGCACAGCCATGAATCTTTCTAAAGAAGTGCCTCGTAAATTGGAAATACGTGGTGTTTAAGACACATTTCAGTATTTCACAGATGTGGTCAGCTGTTAAGTTTCGTTCTCTCCCCTAGTGATGGGCGTCCTATCTGTAGGCTTCTCTTACAGCCTCCACTCGCTCTCTGTAATAGGGACAGACGTAAACATCGGATGTCACATCAAACTATACCATAGTCTCATTCGCCTTGTGACAACAACTGAGGTGTTTGATTTTTATTTTACAAATTCTTTTGTGTTTGCATGGGTGATGGTGGGTGTTACCCACCAATGGAGCCAGAATGGTTTTTGAGTGTTTCGCCAGGTTGTAGGTGATAGAGTCTAGCGTATATACAATAGGCCAAGTGGAAAGTTATGTTTGTGTAAAAAATATTTTTGGAGTCCATAAATACTGGAAGGGTGTCTCGTGGTAAAGTTTGTAATAAGTGGTTTTTCAATAATGCCCTCTTTCCAATTAGCTATCTGATGAAGTCTACTAATCCCTTTTTCCTAAACCTACTGGTAGGGTCCTGTTATGGAAATTCTATTGCCTCAAATGAATGAAACCGAGAGGAAACAAACTTGTCCTTTGGTGCAGTTTTATTCACAGAAGTGATGAGTACAAAATGACATTTCTGTCGCAAAAGGAGTCAAAACAGAAGCGGGATCTGGAGCGATGCCGGCGTCGTCTGTTCCCCCAACAAACTGTCTTATGATCTTATACTGGAGTGTGTCAACACTAGAAACATACCTTCTCACAAGAGAGATGAGTCCTACGCACCTGCAGGACGGGAAAGTTTGGATAGATACATTAAGGCGCAGAAAAGGTCCTTCGAATTTGATAACAAGGAACACGCGTGTAAGAACATTTGAGATAAGCCCATGCAGGTGGTGGCGAAGTTGTGGGAAGAGAACCGTGGACAAGCAGGCCTTTTGTCTTACTGTTTCAAACTGTGATGGGAAGCGGGTTTCAGACGCTGGGAAAGAAGACGCAAGTATCGACCTAAATGATTAGAAAATCGTTGTGCCGGAATCTGTCCATGACAATCCACCCTTTGAATTATCTTAAATCAATCCACACACCATGCTATTCATTACTATAAAATATATCAAGTTACGAAAAATAAAAGGAAAATATAAGGAAAATAAAAGTCAAATATAGTAAATGAAATATATCAAGTAAAGAATATAAGTAAAATATAAGTAAATAAAATATATCAAGTAAAATATAAGTAAAATATAAAGAAACCCCGGAACATCAAAACTTTCACACCTAGTAGGTATAAGAAAACACCGTCATAAAAAGGTTAGTACATACCAAACCAATTTACTCAAAATCATCAATAACTCTCACTAAATGGATCACTTCCCTCTATCAAGACAGCAACATGCCAGGGTTAAGAGAAGTTATTGAACGAGTGTCGACCGAGAACCTACGTCGGATCAATGAACGGATCAAGGAATACACAACATGACAGCACAATTAGCAGTACTAATATTACTCCTAGTCCATACCTATTGAACCAACCACGCTCGCCCGTCTGAAAACTCATGAAGGCCATCTAAACAAACTCACGGATTAACCGCATCGCGCAAAGTGGTTAGATTTCGAAGACACTGTGCAATGACTCCATCATCAGCACTGTTATCAGAATTATAAGTACAACAAGCGGTCCTGCTGAAGTAAAGCACAAACACCCCACTTGAGCAACCAAATGATCCTAAAACAATCCGTTTTGTGAAAAGCAACGGCACGCAACGCATTAACTTCTACTCTGTTGCCTCTAGAATAGTTACAGTTGAATTCACAAACACTTGAAAACCGATTATTTCAAGGTTTCCATTCGAAGCATAACTCTTCCCTCTACCCACCCTGGGGGAACAAGTAGAGAAGTAACGAGCGATTTTTGTTGGCTTGGTCCACAGTTTGTGATCATCTGGAACGTCCGTCCCCAAACAGCCTCAGAGTCAGCAAAGACACCCTTCCAGAGATAGTTCCTGTTGAGGGTCAGGAACCGTGAAGTATGGAGCACAATACTACCCGGAGCGGCCAGAGAAGTGTTTACACTTGAATTACCATGAAAAGAAAGTACACGGGTTAGACACAGTTAAACAAAATGAAATAGGGAATCCGTCCCATCTGTAATAGGAGAATCGGTAAATGGTCCATGATAGAGTGGATAACATACAAATATTAGTACCAGTCTGATATGTCCCGGGCAAAAAGTGGATCTAATTCATCATTAAACCAATAAATTGAAGAATTCAGAATACCCAGTCCGGTTTGAGTGGGGGAGACATTTTCCTGTACGCTGTGTGACGGTCCTCATTGAAATAACCACCAGAGACAGATGAATACAGAATCTTTGGAAATGGTGAAAATGCATCGACCATTGTAGAGGTGTGATTGTGGATTTGATGATGCAATAGGCATATGAAGTACAAAAGTAACATTTAGAGCGATTTTGGTGACTCTGCTAAGAGAATTTTGTCATATTGATACCACAAATTAAGGTGTGGTATACGCTGGTGTATTCATTGACTGAGCCAAAACACGTGAGCCACGCCAAAAATCCATTTCGGCCACATCTTCCCTCTTCACACGTTTTTGATGTAAATGAAGAGGTTGGTTAGAAGTGTAATTGACACGACCTGTGGTTTGATGGTTCTTTTTATTCGCCCGTCCTTCACACCATAACAGTGAAACACAATGAGAATGAAATGACCATGAGCACACACAAAGTCTTTCTCATCCCGCAAAAGCCCTGCTGCCTGAATGGAGCCAGGACAGTGCTCCCGCCGTGGCGCATCATGGACTTGGTTTGTCCACTTGTTATCTTCCTTGTTTACCTATCTTCGGCTCATGCTATTACCAGGAGTGTAGTTACGCAGCACTTTTCTCCGATGCAGCTATCAATGTATTCTAACAATGTTTTACGTTGGGAGGGGGTATGTGTTGGTGAGACGCCCTCCCTTCGCGTTGTGAGGGGGTAAGATCCTCCTTATGCATCCGTTGTTACGCTCCGCAAGAATAGCGGACTGTTTGCAGTGCGATGCGTGTGTCCCGAGGTCATGCCTCTCCTGGACTTTCAACAGCGTGTGAGTGACGAGAGAACTTGGAATTGGGCCAAGCCAGCGATGGTGATCTCCAGTCCTTGGCTGAAGTTCCTTACAGACGAAGTCGCCGTGTTGGATGTTGTGAAGTGGATGGTCCGCCCCTGGGGAAGGGCCGATGACACCTGTCCTCTGATATCAGAAAGAGACTTTGTTATGGTTATACAATACCTTATCATGCAATCCTCGCACAGATGGCATCGGGTTTGAGGTCCCGCAGTCCCATTCCCTAGTTGGGGGGAGCTGCAAACAAAATCACAAATGGGACAGTTGTTACGCGTGCGCACTCTCAGTCGCATGTACATCAGACAATTGGCATGCATTTTGGCCAGTCTAAGGGTTGTTTTCCTGACAGCATTTGGCCATTTTGAATTATAGTGAAATGTTCTCATCTCAACAGCTCCACCAGACTGTGGGTGATAGCTGCCAGTAGTTTTCAAATCAAATTTCAAATAATCAGACAGTTTTGTTTTATCACTTCAGTAACAAAAATGCGACCCATATCATGCTGACACATCTGAGGAATTCCCCATTTTACAAGATTTCAGGCAAAATGGCTTTTTGCTAACTGTACGGTGAACGCAAGTTTTTGCCAGGGAAAACGTTCAACCCACTTTGAAAACATATCCAACATTACAAGACAACATTTTTTCCTTCACAGGGGTTAGTTCATGAAGTCCACATACATGTGCAAACGGTTGCTTGTAGGAGCTGGTGAGCTGCTTGTGTCAAGCCTCGCCTACCCGTTATGCTGTTGCACAGCTCAAACACTTACTACAAAACTCGGCAGCAAATGTAGAAAACCCTTTTTGTAAACCAAATTGTTGGACTGCTTGAAAACATATCCCCCCTTTGACACATGTCCAACCATGTGTTTAACTTAGAAAGCAATGAAATAATCTTTTGGGAAGGCATGGGCTTACAAATCTGGGCCGAACACCCAGACGCCATTTTGTGAAAACAGCACCAGACTCCCGCCACTGGCGCCGCGACGTCAGGGGAAGAGATTGAGCAGAGGTCTTCAGAGAGGCGGGAGGGGAAAGAGGAGGGGCCTCTGGGGAGACACGCAAGGGGCAGGGAAAGGGAAACTGCTGATGGGAGAAAGCGTTAAAGCAGCAGCTCTCGCAGCTCTGTCCGCCCTAGCGTTACCCAATGAAACAGAGTCCGTTGCACTCTTGTGTGGTGGGGCAGAACATTACCACACTGCAATCTGAGATGGGCAGCAAGATAGATCTAACAATGCTGCAACATGTGTGTTGTGGTAAAATAGGTGTCTCCGTCAGATTGTTTTTTAGAAAGTTCATATGTTTCCACAGTGCCCCAAAATCATGCGTCACCCCAAATGCATAGCGGGAGTCAGTGAATATTGACAGACCGTCCCTGTGCGTATGCACACGCCTCTGTCAACGCCACCAGCCTGCCTATTTGTGCGAGTACATCGATGGCGAGAAGGAAGAAAGACGACTGAATGTCGTCCACCACAGCGTATCCACCTGCGACCTTTGCCCGGTGTCCGGGTCGCGATATGCTGATCCATCTACATAAGAAGTAAATCAGTTAGTCAATGTGTATCATAAAGATCGGGTTACTTGGAGTACAGATCCTGATTCAGCTCTGCCTTGCATGAGTGCGTGTGCACTCGCCGGAGGGGGTAACAATGTGGCAGAATTAAGTGTAGAACATTTATGGACATCACAGGTGGGCATTCCCAAGAGCTGGTGTGTAGTATATCGGAGCCATCAGAGATGCAGAAAGATGGAAATAAGTCTGCTCCTGTATATCAAAGCAACAGAATGTGTAACAAACCAACAAAAAGCTGACAGAATCCACAAATCTCGTGATCCAATACCTGCTGTATTCACACGCAGCAAGGGCTCTTAAACATGCAGGAGACCTCTCGCCACAGGATCAAAGGAAGTTTGAAACAATAGCCAACAGTTCAGTAGATCGCCATGTTTTTTGCAAAAGTACTGATTCATGGCATCCACTCTCATCGTCCACAAACTGAACAAAAGGCTGATTTGGGTCAGATTCCCAGAGTCGGAGCCGATATGCAAAGCCAATTTTTAATTCGTGAGCCTTGTGGTGACAGTTTTTGGAGTAATTACATTAAAACCAGCCGCAGCAAATACACGGACGTCAAAGGCCTTTTATCAATGCAGACAACCTTCTGACGCCATGCTGAGCTTTGTGAAGGTCCCTGCTGTCTGTCACACCCTTGTGTCTTTCCGTCTTGCATCTGTATGACCTGCACTTCCACCATTGTCTGTCTGTTCACACCCCATGCCACTGCCACCACAGGGGATGGCGCCGGCGCTTCCTGTGCGCCTCCTCACCGGTGGCCCCCTCCGCTCCGTTGTGGGCGTGACTATCTTTGGTGTGTGTTTTGTATACAGGAAGCTGGGGGCTCTGGCCCCCAGAGCTGGGACATGCTGCTTTTGAGTGGATGTGCTGGCCCTCCGCACTGTGCGTTAACAATAAACTTACGCTTTTGATCAGACAAAGGACCTTTGAGTTTCCTCCTTCATGGGGTATATAATTCTATAACAATTTGGCGTTGCTGACATGTCTTGGCATGGGATACTTTCGGCGGGACGAGCGGCTTTGTTTGGCCGACCTGGATCACCAGCCTCTGTTCCTTTTTGGAGACAAGGGAGAGCGCGCTCGTCCACGCACGGAAGGAATCCTTTTGCCACACAAGACCAAAAAGAACCTAATCTGGTGAGTCTTGTCTTTTCATCTGCGTAACGAGCCCAGGGCAGCACTTAAGTGTACACGGGGATTTGTTTATTTATGTATTTTTGGGGTATTTCATTCATTGCCACAGCATAGTCTGTGTGCGGGATTTTTTGGGGGGCTTTTTGTTCTAGATTGAAAACTAGCGGCTGCGCGTTAGTATCGTCCTGTAGGCGACCCTGAAAATTTCTCCAAGTGTCTTCAGCCAGAACCGCTCCATTTCAAGAACGCGCGCTCGCTGGTTGAACCAGCGAGGGGGGAATGGAGCGCCCCAAAGTGGGTAGGAGCAGGGAGAGACTAAGCGGGTTAGGCCCATTGTTCGTACGAGAAAATGGGTAAAAAACAATCTAGAAGATGCAAGCTATGGAGTGCTTGCCTATGGTGCAGGCCATTACGCATCTTGCGTGATAATTTAGAAGAAGAAGGGAAGAAAAAATATACTTGGTTTTAAGAATATCACGGCAAAAGAGGTTAGAGAAAGAAATATGTAAAAACAATAGCTCCTCCGCCCTTCACCGAAGCGGAGAACACAGAGGCGGACACACACACACATCCCCCACACCCCCACCCTACCCCTACTAACAATAAGTGTGCACCCAAACAAGGCGTTGGGTTTTTAAAAAAATGAGCAGACTACTGTTGTCCCTCTTCCTCTCCCTATCCAGATCTGTCGGCGCCTTTCCTCCGCGCACTGTCCTCTGCCTCAAAGCACCAGCCCCACGCCCCAACCACAGGCGGGCGCCCGCACCAGCTGAGACCCCGCGAGAAGTGGGCCCAAACCGCAGAAGAAGAAGAGGCGGAAACAGACACACGCTCAGGAAACCACAGAAGAAGAAGCGGGGAAGCAAATATGTGAGACACCGAGAACTGCTTTGGAGCACAGAGAGAAACTGCTCCAAATCCCGTGACTGTTCTCCACGGAGGGGGCAGCGTGATATACCAAACGCACCCGCGGAAACCCGCTTGAAAGTTGTTCCCGCACCGCAAACAGAAGAAGCCATTGTGACCGGCACGTTTGGGTTATTCACCAACCCTCATGGACCACATGCTAACGCTTTGGGCTACCTGGGCCTCCTGCGGACTTTGAAAAACTTCCACAGCCCGGCGGAAAGACTGTGTGCTCGACATGGGTCGAAGGACTGTTACCGGAGGAGGCGTTAAAGGCAGAGGAACGCTCAAGCTAACACGGGGCCAGAGGACGGCAGAGGCGGGCACGGAGGAAACACGAGCGACTGACCAAACCTGGGTTCACATTCGTCACCAAAGCGACCGCTCATGTAAGTTTGAACAACAACAAATTGCAATTGGCACTTTTTAGAGATAATTCATGCCCGTAATATACGCTAACAACCTGTGGTGTAAGAGTTAAAATTCTGGATGACTCCGGGGCAACAAATTCTGTGCTAAAAGTGACAGCCTTTCTGTCTCCCCTAAAATGAGCGGCCGCTTCATATTCTAATTAGCAGCGTCGGAGAGACGACTAAAGAGCAATTTACGTCACCGCTAACGTGTTTTGATTCTCAGGGCAACCAGCTTAAACATTCTTTTCTATATTCCCCATTGTGCCCGGTTAACCTACTAGGCCGAGACCTTATGGGCAGACTCAATTAAAAATAGATAAATAAAAGGAGGCACCGGTCCCAAAAGTTAACTACCACTGGAAATTGACACCAAACCCTGAGATTGCTAAGTTATTAGCCACAACAAGTGGATAGAGTGACGCCCGCACAAAATTTGGAGGTCAACCACGCGAACGACCTAAGCTGCTCTCTCCGGTCGTTCCCAGACAATAACTTGGAGTTTGAAAATTCATGCAGTGTAGTGAAGATAGGCTAACGGAGTACGTTTATTGAGATAGGCACCACTATCTGTGCTACTTAATGAGCAACAAAAACATTTTATCGTGAAACAAAGGTGAAGTATTAAAGTTTGAGACTAATTTACATTTTTAATGAATCCGACCTGGCTTTATTGAAAAAAAAAAAAAAATAAGGAAAATAAACATTTTTTAGGTGACAAGAGCTCATTAGAGATATAGGGGACACCATCTGTGATAAGCCCGAAATACAGACCACGTGGTAAACACTAAAGTTGGAAATGGATCCTTTTAGGAAAACTCTTTTAAAGCTCTGCAGGCTCTGAAAGTTGCAACAATAAGAAATAGCTCATGAGACAATTGGAATTGGACATGGAAAAATATAACAAAGTTAAAAGTACAGGCCTTCTGTGTGTTACATGTTTGTGTGTTATATGTTTTGTGTATGTTATATGTTTGTGTGTCATGTCAAAGTACACTACGCTGACCTTAACAAACTGGACCAAAATACTAACGTGGGGGAATCGGCCTGTGATGTGACTGTGATGTGACTGTGATATGAGTGTGATGTGTGAAATAA